CGTATGAACAGCTTCATACAATCCCATACGTTCTATTTTGACACATAGTTACCGCCTAGCGTTTTCGCGTCCGTGCGAACGCTCGCTTAATACGTATGTAACTAAGCTTAACATTACATTTTTGATTATCATATTTAACATTAAATAATAAAGTGTTCTTATTCTGAATTATTTCTGTCTTTTTGGATTTCATGGCAAGACTCTAATTATTGCCTTACTATAAAATCCAAAAAGACATATTCAACTAATAAATGACCATATGGAATATTATCAAATTAAAGAACACCTACTTTATTCGTAATTTTTACTAAATTGCTTATAATCTATTTTATTTCACAGTTCTACATTAAGTATCTGTTACGCGGTTAAAAACATTACAAGTCTAGCCCTTTTGCTGTAGCAATTTACTGAAGTAAATTACCCGCTTTACTCTCATTTAATCTATTTAAATTGACCCAAATCTTAATACACAACATACATGTTGCATAATTTGCATGTAAGTTGTTAAGAGCTTAGTCGTTTCCTTATGCAAAGTGTCGAGTAAAACCTTATCGGCCTGAGTTCAGGTGCATAAATTGCTACACATACCTACTCGTATGTAAGAACCACTTCACACCACCCGACTAGCCCACTATAAATATTTCTGATATGTAATTTGAAGTCGCGGTAAAGGCCAGGCCATGCTTTGTATGGGTCATGATATTTTTAGCACAAAGTTCATAGTTACATTGATAACGTGATACCTTTCTGTTACCTACTTATATCATTAGAGACCTTTACGATTTCATGATTAACACAACCCACCGTTTTATTTTTAAATTGAACGCTTTTAAATCAAGTTCGATTTTGTGATACTAAAACTGAAGTAAAATTTTGACCGACACTTTTCCCTACTACCTTATTTATACCCGGTTTCTCAGCTACATTTAACTATTCGTTTGTGTTTTTGGTTCCATAACTTCATGAAAGTCTCAGAACTATTAAATTGAGTTTTGCACTGTAAAAACTTATGTCAAATTAACAGTAATGAATCACTAGGTAACGATAAAATAGAAACTTTTGCAAACCTGCATTAAAACTATACAATTAAGGCTGTATCTATTTGATATAATGTAAATTCATCATCATCATCACAAGCTTATTATTATTATACTTATATGGCAAATAAATTGGAAAAACCAACATGTTGAAAAGGGACCATAAACTACAAGCTGCCATTGTTAAGGAAGCAAGTTTATTATGGTAACTGCAATTTTGACATTTGTAATTGAGAATTTGACAAACGTAAACAATAAAATAAAGTTTCCATAATTTCATACGCGTGAAGCCGCACGGGAACATCTAGGATTTGATAAATCAGTTATCTTATAAATATGTTCCATTCGCGTAGAAATTTAGTCTATGCGCAATACCAAGTAAGCCTCGTCTGAATGATTATGATTAATTTGGAGTCATATGTAATTAAGTAAACAGTACCTACACAATAATTCTATTAAAATGATAAGTAATAGAAACAACGCATTCCCATCATTAAAGAGGGTTACTACAAACAGATATCTAATACATCGTGAGAAAATTTATTTCTCAAGAAACTGTACCGTCATAAATTTGACAGTGAATTAACGTATAAAAATTATATGAATAACAAATTTTACTCTCATTGAACTAAATGATGTAATATTTCTCATCTCGATATTAAACGAAATGTATTTAAAAAAAATTACATGTTAAAAAGAAAATGTTACATATTTATATAGTAAATGAAAACGTAAATTAATTACTAGATAACTCTAATATCTCTCACAGATAAAGGCATGTTACGAACTCTACTAGGGAGACATAAGATCAATGGTGGAATTTGAGTGAAATCATAATTTAAGTTTCATTACATAGTACTCAGAAGTTAGGGTTGTCTCCGTGTCGTAGTTAAAAAATGTTTAAAAAAACACTTTAAATGACATCATTTTTTTCATGTGCTTTAATAATAATTTTAATAAAAATGACTTGATAACACCGTTGTTGCAACTATCTTAGTCAATTGTAACCTCATTTTAAGTGACTATAAACTTAAAACGTTCCTATACACCTGTCCAGTGATTGTATCGCGTTGCTAAAATTTAATTTTACGAGCTATAAGATAGACTATATTCAAACAACATTTCCTATTACCAAATTGCTCGCCAAAACCTAAATAATTTATATTCAATTCGATCCTGTCTGCGACACTGCGAATTATCAAGAACTAAAATACTATAGCTATCACCTACCAATATACAAATAACACTGGGCTTCCACTACTGAAAAGATAGTATAAATAAATAATGTCATCCCTTTTATACGCCGTGAAAAACTTCGCTTTTTCCAGTTATTTGGGGTCGGCCTTCCTTGTCCTAAGTCTCCAGAAAGCACGAACTTAGAGGCTTGTTCGGCAAGTTTTATTTCTTTCATATCCCATTGGTCCATCGTCTGCCAAGTGGTAGGTGGTCTTCCGGAGGTTCGCATCGTCGTCGGCATGTGTAAAGCTAATTTGACCATGTGATCTTCAGGTCGCCTCTGAACATGGCCGTACCAACGAGACGTTTCTCTTTTAGTTTTTCCGAAATGCGGTAGAACCTCACGTCAAAATAAAATAAAGTGTGCTGATGTTTCTTTGTTTTGTGTGGTTCAGGAAACGTGACCGAACAACTTTAATGATTGATAATAACGTAGCCTTACTATCCTTTTATAGTCAAGGGGAAAACAATCAATTGACGCACCAAACGGAAACGACTCCGTTCCTTAATTCATTTATCGAGACAGATATCTGAAGCTACTGTTTTTGTAAGTAAATGCATATAGAGAATATTGAAAATCTATTTACTTTTGTTTAGCTTAATTATTTCGAAACTTACATAAACTTGTTTAATATAAAACCGCATCATATTAAATTAGGTACTAGCTTTTGCCCCGCAACAACATTTGCGCGAAAAAAAGCAGTCTTATATGTTCTTTAAAACGATCCCCTAAATCTATGCCAAATTTCATCGAGATCCAGCAGTTTAGGCTACAAACTTTAACAAACATGCATTCATCCAGCAATCCATCTAAACTTTTGCATTTATAATATTAGTATGAAGTGTGACATGATTGTATCGTTATTCCAGATAAAATCTTTCGTTATTTACGATATAGTGTGTTTGTATCATATACTGGTATAAAGGGGCACCCTAGTTTGTTACATAATGTACATCATTTCGACAGTGTAACTACATTACATTACTTTAAACTATATACCTCAAGTACTAATCCCCATTTAAAGTAAAATACACAGTTTAACGACGTACCCGTTTTAAAAAATAAACCGTTTAACTATTACGTAAAACGATCTGTGTGATATCGAGGAAAGGTTTAAAAATATAAAAGTTAATTGAATATATTTAAAAAAATGCCGGTGCTGGCGCCACTTTTGCAGTCTCAGAATTCTGTTTTCATACATTATAAAAATCGAAAACAAAATCTCGTAGGTATAATACAATTTTACCAATAATGCCTATACATGCTGATTTGAACTGTCCAGTTAAAGATTTGAATACACACCCACAGTTTTGACTGAACAGTCTTATCACTGTTGTTAGATTAGTTAAATTCGATAATGATTAATTTGTTACATTTTTTTTTTAAATATTCAACGAAACATTTACATATTATGTTGACTGTTTACGTTAAATTTAGGACTACAAAGTAAGTAACCGAATGATTTAAGTTAAAGTTCGAGCGAAATTGGATTTCATCTTGATTTTACTCAATTAACTATTTTCATGAAAAAGCTCTCTTAAAAAAGTTAACTAAGCTCAGAAAGCTTAACATGTAAATTGTAAAATATTGAACGAGTGAAACAGTTTGTTATCGATATTAAATAACGCGTAGTACGAGTGTGTTATGATCTAATAGACATGCAACCAATAAAACGTAACAAAGTTCATGATTAGTGGATTTAGTTTAATGCAATGTGCATTGCGCGCTTCGCGCCTAAGAAGGAAACGATATTTAATGATTTACAATCTAATAGAACTGAATAACGAGTCATACAGCACTAAGGCCGCGCCCACCGACTACGCCAACGGCGAATGTGAAAAAGTGTGACCCGTTCTTACACATATGAGATTACTATATAAGACTTTGCAGGCGCACTTTGCTCTCATTTCGAATGACGCCGTTTGCCAAATACAATTCGAGTTGTTCGAGCTATTAACTTTACCGAGCGAATCGAATGAACGCACCGCTAGCGATTATCATTTAGAATTAACTCGCATCCCATAAACTGCAATAAAATGAAATCGGTGAGCTAACGATGTAAAAATACTTCAATAACACTTGCATAATATTTGAAACAATTTATTTTAAGTAAAAACATACTATACGCATTTTTTTTGTTTCAGATCATAGTAGTAGTAACACTACTTGCAAGCGTACTTGCTTACCACGACCCAGATCTCAATTACCACCTCAGTCAGGTGCAAAAAGGGCAAGGATGTGGTGACTCGGGATACTCGTACCCAGTGCCAGCCGCACAGCTGACCACCGGACTAGTTTCTAACCAGTATGGAGGTGTCGCATACCAACAGCAAGCGATACAAGCGGCTGCATACCAAGCTCCATTAGTCACTCAAGCTAACTACATTCAAACTGCCAATCAAAACGAATATCACGGCTACGCTACCTCCGCTGGATTATCTTCTGCAGCATCGTCAGGCAGGACGGTGACTCCACTAGCAACCTACGCGCAAGCTCCTATCATAGCTAAAGTTACTGCAGCGCCATTAATTGCTAAATACTCTATATCGCCAGCAAGGACCTCATACGTGTCTAACAACTTACTCAGCCAACAATCGATATCTTTAGGTTCCGCGAAAGCATCACTAGACTCTTATAATATCCAATCTGGTGGGCCAGTTGTGTCTCAAGTGTACGCCGCACCAACTGTTGGATATAAAGCATCTCCGGCGATTCAAGTTCAACAAACTCCTCAGATTGCATACGCCACTGCAGCTCCTGCTATCGTAAATCAATATCAACAAGCCGGACCTGTTTATAGAGCACCAGCTCTTGCCACATCCCAATACATCGCCCCAACTGTGGAGGAATATCACTCTAGATCCGGTGTACAATACAATTCTCAGTCAAACGCAGCCTCTATTGGATACTCAGCGTCTAAAGTGTCTCAGTATACACCAAGTGTTGCCACTCAGTATTTCGCTCCTGCAGTTGCTCAATACTCAGCACCTGCAGTTGCTCAATACTCAGCACCTGCAGTTACTCATTACTCAGCACCAGCAGTTACTCATTACTCAGCACCAGCAGTTACTCAATATTCGGCACCGGCGGTAGCGATACAACACTCGGCTCCAGCTTTAGCACAATATTCTGCGCCAGCTGTAAGTGTTCAGCACGCGACACCGGTAGTGCAATACTCCTCACCTGCAGTATCAGTCCAGCGTTCACCATCAGTGGTTCAGTACTCAGCGCCGGCAGTGGCAGTGCAGCATTCTGCAGTATCGCAGTATTCACAAGCGGCTCTAAGAGGACATGCATCTGTGGGAGTTAAGAATGTTCATACAGAGTTTTTGGAAAATTATGTGAGTATTTTTTATTTCATTTTATTTTTCCTACCGTATTTGTTACTGTACTATACGAGTAATAGACAAGAATCACTTAGAATTTGTAAACTACAAAAAATGATCACAAAATTACTCGCGGCTACCCAACATACAGTCACTTACAAAATTCACAATAAAGCAATATTAAAACAGTTAAACGTATCCTAAAACCGCTTCAGTAATATTTACCCTACGGGACGTTGCCTCACGTGTGTTATTTCTTAGCGTCGGCAATGCAATTCGCTCGCATTGCTCATTAATCATTTGTCATATAAAACTACGACTAAGTATTTCCACCAGGAAAACTAAATTCTAATTATTTTTTTGATGTTTTAAAGCTGTTGTTGTTGGTCGAAACAAAAGAGATATAGTGAAATCAAATTTCATTTCTGCATCCGAATCCGAAACAAACCTCAAGGCGTTTCACTGACGTCAGCAATTGTTCTTTTTTTCACCAGAAAACAGTACTTTTGTAATCCCTGAAGCATTTTCTTTACGTTGGATATATTATTTAGTATCATTTACATGCGATTATATTTCACTGCTGTCTTTCATTGGTTAATTACAGAACTCTAGTAATCAATTTATAGTTGTCTCTACAATTTTAAATCTCGCTCCATCCCACACAAAATTCAAATTAAATTGATAAATTTACAATACCTAACCTCAATACAATTATTTCCCAGGCTTTGTTATTATCCAAAGCGAGACATTGACATTCAATAGGCGTGGCGAATGGTATTTATTATAGGCGCTGGGATCATTAGGTCGTGTTGATCTGCTATCACTGACTTTACTAAAAGCCATTGTCATTTACTATAATACATTTTAAATTACCATGATTATGTATTAGTTGTAAGCATTATGCATTTTGATCCTGTAAATAACCTTTAAGATATTTGGAAGTTGTTTTTAACCCATACGCTACAACTAATTCACAAAATTTATTAAAACAATTTCTAAAGTTAACCAAGTTGTTTATTTGAGATTAATATAAATTAAATGAGTAATGTTTTAAATCAGGAACATCATCTGCAGGTAAAAGGATTTTTACATAACAGAAAAGGACAATAACCTTAACTTGCGTAACGTAACCAAATAAATCAATAAAGGGTTCTGATTATTAACTACGTCAGTCAATGCACGGGAGGATAATACTTATGACATAATAAGGAATAAGGATATAAGATATAATTTTAATTTTATGTGCGTCATAATTATCTACTATTGCTACAACCGTTTTAAAAATCACAATTAATACGTGTACGTTTACGATACGTATCATTTTAAAATGCATCTATATTTTATTAAGATCCAATACAAGTTAAGCAATATTATAAACTAGCTTTCGCGCGCGACACCGTACGCGTGGATTTCAATTATTCAATTAAATATTATCAAACTATATCAATTTTGCCAAATTTCATCGATATTCGTTCAACAGTTTAGGCTAAAAACTCTAAAAAAACACCCATTCATTCATCTATTTAAACTTTCGCATTTATAATATCAGAGATATGTAAGATAGAACACGCTCTCAACTAATTTTGCAAAAGTTTCGAATTAAAGTGGTAAAAACTGTACGAAACATCAATTTCTAATGACTTTAGTTGTATTGCTTAAAGCACTCGTCTACTGAACTAATCAACATTTGTATTGCAAAAACCAAGTCAAAAGATAGCATGTGTAGGCAACGATTCGGAATTGATACACGTTTGCGGATTAGTTCATAAATCATAAGAAATCGCTTACATCGAAATTAAGCCCTCAACTCATCAGTAATTTATCATCGTCGTAAACATACTTCCTTTAAAGATATAACGGCCGATAATTTTGAATGATAATACGTTTAGTTTTCAACGCGTTGTCAGAAATGAGATGAGCTTGCAACCCCAATTTTTGTTATTTTAAGAATGTTGCAACACTAAATCTTTGGCTTATACTTCCTGTCCCTGACATCTGTCAATGTCATTAAGAAATGTAGAGCGCCATCTTGGCGGGAGGCTGAAACCTGAGTGTTTAATTCAATTATTATTATTATTATTTATTACAGTTAGGTATATTAATGACCTTAAAACCTTAATAGTCAAGATTCCTTGCACTGCGATTTAAAGGGCTTTTAATTTTAATATTATTTGCATAAGAACAGTCTTTGACATAAATAATTACTGTTTTCTTTCTTGGGCGCTATTAGTTAATGCAATAAAACGATGTTAATTTAACTGGAACTTACTAGGTTCATTCTCGAGACAGTTATATAAAATTTCACTATTTATTAAATTCCATTTTTGTCGTAATGGTCCTTCAGATGAGCTATAAAAACTTCCATGTTATGTAAACACAGAAAACAAGTATTTAGGTCTGTCATGTTCAACTTCCTTATTGGTAATAGTGATCGTGTTCTGTTCAAACTATATTTCATTGTAAACGCTTTAATTCAATTCAGTATTTCAACGGCGATATAATCTCCAGTCTATAGTTCCCAGATACTATTTCAATAATATTAAAGGTATTTGAAATATACTTACAACTGAATAGTGAAACGAATCAAATACATCATTTCAATTAAATAAACGTGACCTATTTAACGCTGTTATATATTTTAATATCGTTTCAGTATACGGCAGTTAGTGATGTAAAGGTCCTACGTAACGTTACAACCACGACTAGGTTGTCAGGACTAATGTAAATACGATGATTGATAGTAATGTAGAAGTGAAGAAACAATATGTAATTTGAAGCAATTACTCATTCTCTAATGACATATTTAGGGTGCAAGATATGTTAAATAATTGTTTCAAACTAAATTTTAATTAAATGGTTAGCCCGCATATCGCCCGCATTTTCGTAGTTTCTTTTTTAAAAAAAAGTTTTTTCACAGGACGCTCATCCGCGATACGCCTTCGAGTACGGAGTGAACGATCCCCACACTGGCGACATTAAGCAACAAAAGGAAGAGCGAAACGGCGATGTTGTAAGAGGTGAGAAGCGTTTTTATTTTTATACCATTCAATTAGTTTTAAAATAAGTTTAATTCAACGTTTTCAAAAGCGGTAAACCCGACGACCTTTAGTTACTTAGTGTTACAAGGTGTGACGCAATGTCGCATAAACATTATCTTATGAAATATTAACCGACGTCGGTTCGCCTCAATACATTTTTCATTGCTCAATTTTTTATTCATTATACCCTTGAATATTACACCGTGCAGGGATTTATTACACTTATCAATATCAAATAATTCATAAATTCTTACATTGTACAAGCAATTAAATTACAACAATCACATAAAGGGCATATAACGACGAAATGAAGTTTTGTCGCCCTCTTAGCGCAGCAAGGGTAGCTGAGACGGTAACAATAGATTCTTATCGAGTTTGCGCAAAACTCTTGTGCCGATTCATATGTGAAGTACAGATGTGAGGAATTATGATTATTGATCATATAATAAGGTGTCAGCTCTATTAATTTTAATATTAAGCTATTTAGCTGCCGTAGATTTATAACATAAAAGTACGTAACTACAAATTCCCGAACTTTTTTTAAGACATCAAACGTAGAAAGTATACAAGTTTAGCAAATGGGTGACATATATAATGTTGTTAGTATTATATCACCACTTAAGGCGCCGTATCAATAATTAATACGATACAATAAGTCATTACGCAATTAAATCAACCATAACAGTCTAGATGTAAAGATATAAATAAATTTATCCAGGTCAATATTCTCTGGTGGAACCGGACGGCTCGGTGCGCACGGTGGACTACGTCGCCGACTGGGAGACCGGTTTCCATGCCAACGTACACAATAGCAAAGACAAACACTAAACTGTACCACTTCCATAGGATACTACTGTAAAAATTGTAATCATGTCCTTTAAAAATAAGTTAAGAATATGTTAAATGTATATATAGAAAATACAAATAAACTAAGATCTCTATGATTTTTTTGTTCTTATTCTTATCACCCTATCATTAACAAGCTCAAGTTTAAATAGGTTGCCCGAGGATCTGGAGCACAACTTATAAAGACGCCTAATACAACGAGAGTCTCATAAATAATACCGAGTAAACAATAGCAGTAATTTAAGTATTGGAGGTTTGAAGGTTCTAAAGAACTGAAAATATGCGATTTTGTTAATTGAACTGTTTTCCAACTGTCGGTTTCAGGTAAAGCTCATTCTTTGTCTAAATTAAAGTTTTTATCACTAACTAGCTGTCGCCCGCGACTCTGTTCGCGTGGAAGTAAAAAAAACCAAAAGTGAGTAGCCTATGTGTTCTTCCAGATTATTCTCTACGTCTGTGTCAAATTTCATCGAGATCTGTTCAGCCGTTTAAACAATAAACTCTAACAAGTAACGCATATAAATCAGTTGTTGACCGAGTAACATTGGGTAATACATAATATGTTGTCGCTTTCATTTCAAATAAATTGTATTACTTGCTCCATCACATTACGCAAAGATTGATCGTCACAAATAATGTGACATATTATATTATATTTATTCCGTCAATTTTACTAAGTAAAGTATAATCTAATTATTTTCGCATTAGTTACTTATGTATCGTATGATTGCGAGAAAACAATATGCTCCACCGTTTTTCTATTGTAATACATTTCATGAAATATTTCTGAATTTATCTTTATATATATTAAAAGAGAACCTAAAATTGTAGGTGTTCTAATGTAGAAAAACATTTTCAATTATGCCTTCAGCTGTATCTTAATTATTTTTTAATCTGTAGACGTCTGAAATAAACGACAAGTACAAAAAACATAGACAAAAACATAACTAGTGTCAAAATGATGTATAATGTCTGTTTATATTTGACAATTGTCATTGACAGTTATCAACAACAATAACAATATTTAAGAGCGTGATTTAACAATAGAATTATCTATTGATCAAAGTACACGCACTTCAGCTTCAGTAATATGGTTGCTACTGTTGCCTATGAATATTATCTTAACTACCTTAATTTTCAATTTATTTAAAATTGTACCTCTATATCCATTACCATGTCAATGTCATACATTCCCAGAGTTACACAGGTAAATAAGTTTAAAGCAATTATTTATGATGTTGGAATTTAATATGTTTACTGGTAGGTAAAACTTTACACAAGTAGGATGGCTTTTTAATATTGAAACAATGTGTATAGAAAATATTATAAGGAATTGTAGATCTGATGTTTAAAAATGACTTCTCATCTCGATACGTACCGCGTAACATCATGGGATATATGAAATAGGAGATTGTATAAAATGTGATTGATTGATGCTTATAATTATATATAATATAATTATATAACTTATTAACTATGTGAAGAACTCCAGAGCCTGGGACGGCAGAAAGTAACCATCCAACAAAAAAACCTTGTACACCTTCTCGACTCTCTATAAACTTCTAACTTTATTTTAAACATTCTTATACACCTTCTCGACTAAATAATAAATTCAGTTACTAACAAAAACAACATATGAATTTAAAAATTTTTAATATTTTCAGCTAGATTCTCTACAATTGGATGAGCAAGTTGAGGACTTATTCAAACAACTGTTATTTAATGCTACGAAATTTCTAGAGGTTTGTATCTATTCCATTTCGACGAATTATTGTGTTTTTTATTTGTTTATTTCGATAGTTTAGGTGAAAAATCAGCAATTCTTTAAGGAAACAGTAAAATGTTTTTTTTTTTTTTCGGTTTTCAAATAAACCCTTCATAGTTTATGTTTAGCGTATTTCATAATAACATTCGATTTTCAGCCTGGAATTCTTCAGCCAATTTTACCTGAGCTTGAACTCTTATTAAGATCTTGGATGTTCAAGTACTCATTATGCAACAAGAAATGTACATTTGGTCAGGAAATGTTATCCTTGAAATATGACACCACAAACCTTTCAAAAAGCAAATTGTATTGGTACTATGGCTATACAATAGGTTTAAGATATTTGAAAGACAGAGCCCTGTATAGTTTAACTTCAAATATAAAAGTGCAAAACTTTTGCACTAAATTAGAAACATTTCAATTGATAGGAGATATTTTTAACTTCCTAAGATTTATACAGACTGGGAAATATCCGGTATTAATAGATTTTATACTTGGACTTGAACTGACTGCAGATAAACTGGCAAGGGAAGACCTTACAGATCTCTCCTGGACTCGAGAACTGTTATGGCATAATCTAATTGTAAGTCAATTTTAATACTTTATGTTTCTCGATGCTTTATTTGGTGAACTGTGAACAATTCTACTGTTGTTTCTATAAAATTATGTATATGAATTGATGCGTTTTATTTTCAGGAATTAATAGGTACAGTGGTTTCTCTGGTCAATTTGTTTGGGTTAAGAAGAAAACTGAGCAATACTTTAAAATATGTTTGGTGGCGAAAACATGTTCGGTCTGTCGGAGGAGCAAAACCACCAACAATGACAATCAATACTGTTTGTGCTTGTTGCTCAAACAAACCAGTACTACCTCATGTGATGGGCTGCTCACATATATTTTGTTATTATTGCTTATCGGTAAGGCAATTTAACAGATATAATAGTTACTGATTGGTTTATGACTACAATCAATATGTTTATCTTTTTTTAGGCAAATAAAGCTGCTGATCCTGAATATGAATGTCCAAAATGTTATTTAAATGGAAATGATATTACTAAATTTAGTATAAATTTATGAGAGTGGTATACAGTGATGAAAATTTATTCTTAATATGAATGAAAATAGAATACACTAATCAAGTTAAGGGTATTAAAGGTTGTGACTTAATACATTTTTATGTTTAATTTCCTTTTATAGTTTCAAAGGCTGCTGCCGATAGTAAACTTTTTCATAGCATTTTTAAAAAGTGCAAAGGCGAGTCCAAGCGCGTTAAGCATAGCGTTGTGTAAACTAAATCGTAATGTGGGCTAAACGCGGAATAATATCAATCATTAAGCCGATATTTGATCTCTCTCGAAAGATCATTTCTTTGAAATTTCATCGTCTATTTAATATGTTTCTGCTAGAAGCAAATGAACTTCAGGTTTCGCATGAAAATATACAGTATATTAAAGTTAATAAGTCAAATTGGTAAGTACCAACAGAACGTTATTTTCGTTTTTTTCAGAGCACCTTTAAAACATTTTTTATCTATGACTACATAGACCATTTTTAATCTTTAAAATGTCTATAGTCGATGCTTTTTGGTTATGGTTCAAGAGGCAATGTCAAGTGTGTCAAACGAGTTTAAGATTGTTACTGAAGTTTTTAGATTTATTGAGCAATAATTAGGAAATAGTTATACAATTTTGCAGAATTTTATATTAAAAATTTATAAGTATGGTTATGGTATTATAGAAATAGTAAAAGAACATCCACGAAAATGGTTGTTTCACCGCAAAGCCCTGCTGGCGAAGCTCCAAATGTGCAAGGTTCTAAAACCAATATGGCCTCCAAACAAACTTCTGTTGCCGATACAAGAGTTGAATTAGCAGAATTAGTTAAAAGAAAAGCCGAAGTAGCCGTGAGTACTTATTAAATCTTATGTGTGAAATTTATCCCGATTCATATTAAATGCCCATTTATCAAAATTAATAATAACAACTATTTGTTGTTGTTTATAGTTTATTTACTTGTCAAAAATGTTTTTATTTTAGGAAACTTTGGCTAGTTTGGAGCGACAAATATACGCTTTTGAAGGCTCATATTTAGAAGATACTCAACTGTATGGTAATATAATTCGTGGATGGGATCGCTACCTCACAACTAACAAGAGTACAAATTCCAAAGCAGATAAACGTAACAGAAAGTTTAAGGAAGCTGAGCGGTTGTTTTCTAAATCTTCTATAACGTCAATGGCTGTAAGTATTAGCAATTTCATGTTACATCTTGATTAAATGAAACATAATTGCCTACTAAACTTGCATAAGGTTTATTTTTTTATGATTATCTTATTACTCATACATGACCAGGTATAAAATTAAAATAATTATTTTTTTATTCTTCCCAACAGGCAGTCAGTGGACTTGTCGATCCAGCAGAAACAAAAAGTAAGATTAATAATATGATAATTTTAAAACTATTACCTTTTTTTAAGTCTTGTACACAATTTATATTATTTTTAATAGATGAACGGAATAGCGAAACTGAATCCCAGACAAATGAAGATTCATCGGATACACAACTGAGCGGACTGAACTTAGGTAATCTAAATCACACAACAATTCACGGCTCTACAGAGAGTATTGCATCCAAGCCATCTGGGAAACAGCACACTAATGGAGTTATCGAAAAAGCAATGAGTCAAACAAAACAAAGTGCAACCCAAAAGATGGCATCTGGTATGTTACAAAAATCATTTAACAGTGATACTAAAATGCTCTCTGCAGTTGGCTTAGACAGTAGACCCGGAACTCCAAAAGATAAAGATTCTGCTCTTAGTATTGCAAAGGGAGATACAGCACTGAACTCATTGAAGCATAAACTCACTAATAGCAATAGTAATAGTGTAAAGAAAAATAACAATAAAAAAGCTAGACATAGATAATTAACTGGACTTAAGTCATTCGGTGCCACCAAGTCGTCAATTTTTGATGATAGCAAAGTTTCAAATAAATTTTAGTGGCATAAAACATTAGGCAAACAATTTAAAAACAACAAAAGAAAGATTGCCTTACCTTCACTGCCAAAACAATGAGGGCCTTACCATAAATAACTTAGTCAAATACATTTATGCTTAAAAATACATGAACCATTTTTTACCGCGTCTAGCGCTTGGTGTGGATTTTTGACAAATTGTAGTTATTACATTATATGTAGGCTTGCAAAATGCAATTTTAACAAATACCAATATAGTACTTATACAGAAGTAGTGCAGTTATACATATTTATGGTAAAATATATAACCATGTTGACATCCAATATCAGCAATGGTCGAAGTGTGTTTTACTTAACAGTGCCTAACTTTATTGGTAGTACAATGAGTGCTGATGCCAAATGAAATAAACAATAAGAATACAATTTTATAAGTAGCTTTATTTCTCTAAGATTTTCAAATTTCTCATAATAAGCTTTTGTAAATATCTCTTTGGCATAAATTAAATATTACATTGTTTAATCTTGTCTGGAATTTACTGATCTTAATATAGTTTGTTTGATTCTTGATTCTGAAAAATAAAGAAATCAAATAAAGTTGTGTGTTTTATTTGGTGGTAAACTTTAAACCATCGTCTTCCTGTCCTTATTCTATTTCCATTAGGTTAAAACACTTCCTTTTTATTTAACCAGGTTAATCTACTATCATCTCAGTTGTGACCTTTTGTGCGATCCATACATCTCTTTCTAAGTCTACCCTTTACCAGTGTACCTCCACACTTATAACTTAGAATAGATAAGCATCATTAATATGCAAATCAGAATTATACTACCAGTACTGTTAAAATTATGGTTTTTAAATACTTGATAAAACAGTAGAGAACTAAATGTTTTATCAATTTATAAAAAAAATGCTTTCAAACCCCACTTGTAATGTAATACTTACGTTTTAAAACTTTAGGCAAATCTCTTATTGGCCCACAATATCTTACAGATACATAAAATATTAAAGGCAATAATGATATCAGTCCAGCGCTGCACAGAAATATAATTTCAGGTGTTATTCTTAACTTGCAGCAATTGAAAGTTTTACTCCAAATACTTCTTGTAGCATTCATCTAGAAAAGAGCAAATGTAATCTTTAGTTGATTTTATCATTTGTTTATTTTTCTCTGGGTAATTAAAAAAAAACTTACCGAATCAACAATATCCATACAAACAGAATCCACTCCAATGGAATCAGTGCTTAAAGTCGCATAGAATGAATCTAACTGAAGATAGAATTGCATACATTTTTCACACACTGTATTGTTATTTTCTGGGTCATAATTGTTGGAAAAACAGTTCATTGTGTCATTAAACAATGTAATGAAATGATTTATATCATTCTTTATCACTGGTTTATTATCAGTCCAGTTGAAGCAATCTAAAAATAGACGAACCTTAAAATATTGTATTATATTTAAATTTTATATAGGGTTTCTTCACTTACTGTTGCAATTTCCTTTTTCCCAAACTGCTGATATACTGTCATGATATTGCAACACCACATTCAATCTATCATGTGACATAAACACAGATCTGCATGATGTTCCATTAACAACAGTTTTAAGAAGCTCTTGATATTTGTTACGAAAACAAACATAATGATCAACACATTTTTCACATAATCTTACTGGCCTAGCATTTAAAATTGAACACATTGTCAAATTAGATGCACTCTGTGAAAATGATTGTAAGATGTCGTAGCATTCCTTTGGATATGAATACATATCTTTCACCAGTACCGTATTAAATGATTCGTGATTTCCCTTATTGTACCTGAAATACATAAATGATATAGAAAACATTTTATACAATAACTGTTACTCAAATATTTCGTACTAGTTTACATTAGAAACTAACAATAAGGAAAATCCATTGTAGTAATTTTCTTCTTCACTTACAGCACAGTCCACACTTAAATTATATGGATAAAGAAAAAATAGGACATAGAATCTAGTCACTATCCCATATGTACTTAGCATGGTAATGATTAGTTCATAAATTATTATTTACAATGCAAACGTGATATAATAAAATACAATAGAAAAGAAAAAGATATTGTCATTAATCTACTCAAAACAAAATAAGAAACATTACAGTCCTATTTTCTTGTTTTGGTAAAAAGTGACAGGTGACAGCGACAGTTTGACACATAAGGTTGTCCCTTGAATTGACCGGTTTTCATTCAACTAGTTGAATTTAACGTAAATATATAATAAAATAGAGTCAGCTTTCAGTTAAGAACATATCGTTTTTGGATCTATCGTTTTAAACGTCTGATTTTTATGACTAGTTGAAAAAATATTAACGGCTTCGTCTCGTTGACACTAAAATTGACAATCCACAACCAACCAACATCCCTGTTAGATATTTCCACAAATGAATTCCTATAAAATACAGACGAGCGGCCATATTAACAATACTTTAAAAAACACAAACTGAACTCAAATGCGACAACGCAAATATATTGAACATTCCGTTGTGACGACTAGTAAAACACTGAGCTCGTTGGCGACTGAGCGCCGAGACTGCGACTGAGCCCGAGCCTTGATTGCTTGCTTGTTTTCGGAGATGTTGTTGCTGTTAACCCTATTGACGGTTTTTACAGCTTCATCGGATACTGAGCTCTCGGTCTCGGATGATCGAGAGCTAGAATAGAAGATCCCTAGTGTGGTTAGGTCCCTAGTTGCCGTACGGCTATGAGTAACTGAGTGTTTCTATGTTTTATCTTAACGGAGGGAGCCCGAGCCACTCCTTGCCTTACATTTTATATAACTACCCCCCACTATTCCTTTTCCTATTATGAACTATCGATATTTGGTTTAAATAAAAATCGAATGTAATTAAAATTATTATTTTCTTATTAACTAATTTAGAGGACAATTCTATTATTGACTATAGTGTAGAGAATTTAGCGATGACAGAAATAATAGCGAAATCCAATTCGATTACGTACGGCTGTAGTAGTAATAAACATTTATTAACTCTCATTATGTGTAATGATCATTATTAATTTGAGAAAACAGTGTTTTTTTTTCAATTTATAAGTTATAACTATTAACCTATGAATTCCAACTTCTATAAGAATAAAAATCAAAAATCGATAAGATTCATGACTGATTTTACACACAACCCTACTAAATTTGAAGTGAATTGTCAAACTAATCTAATTTATTATAATAACAAATATGTTTGACAGCCACAATTTAATGTTTTAGATGCGAGAACGGAATCTTTTAATTTCAAGTTTGACATTGACTGTGGTTGTCAACATCAATGTCAAACTTGAGATACAAAAATTAAAAACAACAAATGGTCTCTACCATACCATAGCAATTATAATTATGAAATTTAAAATATACTACGATTGCATTATTATAGAAGAAACTTTACTGTGTGTAAATGTGATATAAATAACAAGAATCATAATTTTTCTTGGAGATGGAAATCAGTGAACCCACACCTGAAGCTTTACAACGAAAATTATATTTTTTACTTGAACAATTACAGGACATGGCACGAGAATTACCACCGTAATTACAATTTATTGTTTTGTTTTTAGAAGAGGGAATGTTTCATTAATATTTATTTTGCTTTATTATATTAAAATGTGTATAAAACATTTTCTTTTCTAGGAAATACCAAATGAGAGTACCTATAGAGTTACTGTCTGGATTAGCGAATTGCCTACTGAATGATACTATATTTGAAATTGTGAAAGGATTAATGGAAATTCAACATGTCACTGAAAAACATCTTTTCCAGCAAAGGTTACAAATAATTAACAACCATACATGTAAGATTGTTTTGTTCCTTTAAACTTTATACCATTGAAATGTAATCTAAATCAATTATTACATCAAAAAGCACTAGCAATATTCATTTACAACACGGAATATTGGTTGCATATTTATGTAGCTCAGCCATGATCTATAGTTTTAATTTATATATGCCTGCAATCAGAGGAAGAAATCAATTTGAATTTAAGTCATAATAAGAACACGAGCGCCGCCAAGCGACTTTCGTGCGAACTAAGATTAATCTGAAAATAGGGATTGTTGCGAGAACATTGTTTGAATGATATGGGCTTGGTAGATTGATCATATCCTGACTGAAGAGTATTGTGAATGTGTTCCTGAAATCCGACTTTACCCATGGCCGCCCACATGTGATCTTGAGTAGTAGTAATTTTGATATTGTGCTAGCTCAAGCCGACATATATAACTTAGGAAAATCTTTAAAATAAATACCTGTTTTAGTGGAAATACAAGAAATGATGACAAATACAGCCCCTGAACAGCAAGAAGTTCAGAAAACTAATTTATTGAGAAGGCACAAGGAAGAACTTAAACAAACTGATATGAAATTAGTCCTTCAATTGGATCAAAAGGTAACACAATTAAAATGAAATATATATCAATAAAATTCACATACTACAGGCCTGACTGTCCAATTGACTATTCAAGAGAAGAGCATAAAACTGTCTCAACATTCAAAGTCAATCCCCTTAGTCTGGGATCAAAAGTAGCTTATGTTTTAACAGACTGTCATATACAGCTATGCTTAATTTTATCAAGATCTGTTAAGAAGTTAAGTCCACAAAATCTAACATCTATCCATCAGTAAGATATTTCTTTTCTAGGTAAGTGATCAACAAGATACATTAGAAAAAGCAGGAGTGCCAGGTTTCTTTGTGACTAGTAAACCAATTGAAGTAAAAGTGCAAATGTATCTACTTGACTTTATATTAAGATTAAGTAAAATGGATATTCCGCAATAAAAAAATTATCATATTTGTTGACTTTTAGTGTACCACTAGCTGTTGCCTGTGACACTGTTCTCACTAAGATTAAAAAAAAGCTTAGAAAGTAGCCATTGAGCTCTTCTGGAACATGTTCTACATCTGTGTCAAAATTCAAAATCCTTTAAGCTGTTCTAGATATTCATAACAAACATCTATCCATCCATCCATCTAAACTTTGTCATTTATTATATTTGTAAGGTTATAATGTTAATATGAATCGATTATTCAAAGTAACACTGAAGTAATTCACAGTTATAATAAATAAAAGAAAAATTTGTGCCTAAAATGTTTATTAAGGCATTTTTACAAACATCAATGTTTAGTACAAATATCACCTCTATTCCTACTTTTGGTATGTCAAGGGATTTTTAAAAATACTATTACAATGTTACATTTTTATAACCATTACTAATAAAATAGATTTACAAAGTGTTGATACAAATGGACAAGGAAATTATACATTTATTTGTGATTTAAAATGAAATTTGAACAAACTTGACTTTCAGACTATCGATAATTTTGTCAATATTTTGACTTTAAATTTTTTTACATAAATGTTTGTTATAGAAGTAAACTTTAAGTTCTAAGACAGTTTAAAGAGATGTTGAAAAACATTAAAAATTGGAAAAACCAAGTCAAGCTTGTATGAAATCTTTAAACGGATGATTAATTTTTATATTTTTTTAGCAAAACTTGTAAGATTTATTGCAAAACAAGTAAAAAACTCAACAATTCTCCATTGTCTCGTTCACACGTTTGTTGAATCACTCGACAAAATACTAGTCTAGTATCACACAATAAAATTGAACACTAACTAAATGATTACAATTTATAAAATACCGTTTGTTACATCTTAAATAAGTTATAAATAAAATTGTGCTTCCTTTTTTCATTTTTATAAATAAATAATTAAAAAAATATCGTTATACAATAACCATCACCTATAAAGCACTTAATAAATGTACTTTTTGGTTTTATAATTTGTTAAATTTTAATTTAAAGTGTTATATGAATATTACAAATTTGTGTGTTTTAAATATATTTGAATATAAACACTACAATACACAGAAAAAGAAACAACGGAAAAAAACTGTTTCATATTTAGTATTAAACGATAAATTGCATGTTTTAAAGACATTAAGAAACATAAAATGTAGAATAAATTGTATTTGACTGCAGATGAGCAAAGTTTTAGGTTACAATTAGTAATATCAGTTCATTTAAAATAACAAGTATGTATTTAATTTACGTAAATTGTAAACGCTTCAACAATTACAATGTTTATTACAATACAGGATAATACAAAATAAAATTTGTGCATGAAGTCTTACTGTATTTTAGAAATATAATTGAATACAATTTTATCAAAAGAAAACAGACCTCCAAGAAATAATTAGCAAACAGTTTAGTTTTTACACATAACAATAATATATAGATATAAACATATAATTCTTATTGTATTTGGGTTATTTTAATATTTTACTATTTTTAGTTTTAACAGCAATCAGAAATAACAAAAAGAACGGAAACAAAGATTTTATTTCTAATTATACCATTAAAAACCGAATTTTAATTCATAAATCATTGTAATTAATTATTTACGGCTTACTCACGTATACTTTTCTCCTTTTACTTTTACTTTTCCTACTTTTTTTAAATTTGATGAAGAAGGACCCCCGTAGGGTCTGAAACTGGTCGGTGCCGTCACCGGAAAAAGTATACGTGAGTAAGCCGTAAATAATTAATTATAAAATGTCTCACGAAAGTTTAAATAACTTAATCATAAATCATTGATTTATTTCTTTATAAAGTGTATGTAATGGTATAATTGGAAAATTAAAAAAAAATGTGTAATTTACTTCTTTTCAGTTCCATAGGACGAGCCCTGGCTAATTTGTGTGATGCCGATAGATTTTTGAAGCAGGATATAGACTGAAAAATAATACATTTTAGTGAAAAAAATATTATTAGTCAATGATAAAAACTTATTTGGCGTCTATACTGATTTACATAAAAAAATCTTAAAATTTTACCAATAGTGTAATAAATATTATAATAATAAATATCTTGTTGAATATTTCAACGTGAACCTTAACATTTTCCGAAATTACTTTACAAAACATTTACGTTTTTTTTCCAAAGACAATGACAAGAAATTTATGTAAATCACGTTTTTCAGATGTGAAAAATCATCAACATATTTACTTTAAAATCCACAATTTGGAAAGAACCTAACACCCTGAACGCCTTATCACTTAAATCTCCTAATATTTTCTACATACTAGCTTTTGCCTGGGACTTCGTCCGCGGAATTAAAAACTTCCAGACTATGTTCTGCATCTGTGCTAAATTTAATATAGATTTGGTAAGCCGTTACAGAGATACGTAACATCCATCTATCTAAACTACCGCATTTATATTATTAGTAACAACTACGAAAGCCCGCGACTTTGCGTGGAATTAAAAAAAAGCCTTGTTTATATTCAAAATCTGTTTTAAATCATCGAGATCCATTATGAATATACCTTCTCACAACCACTCATCTAAACTTTTGCAATAATATTGATACGATAGGAAAAAAAACATACAGACGAATTGAGTACCTCCTTCTTTTGGGAAGTCGGTCAATAAAATATACTTACAAGCAGCAAGTATTGCGCCTCCGATGGTCAAATAAAGCAGTTTCCCACTGAACAGTAAGCCAATCAAATAGTAAAGCATCGGGGTGAGAGTGACGATCGCCCATCCCAATGTATTGATGAGCGAATACACGCGAGGCGGCAATTGGAAACTCTCTATTCTTTCAACACCGGATTCCGTGAAAAAGTCGCCCGTGTTTAGGAACGAATCTTGCATTTTATCCTGAAACAAAAGCAACGTTTAAAAGAAAAAAATGTAAGTGATAAAAAACACTAGCTTTCGCCCGCAACTCCGTCCGTAAAAATGTAGCCTATGTGTTCTTCCAGACTATCTACGTCTGTACCAAATTTCATCGAAATCCGTTCAGACATTTAGGCTACAAAGTCTAACAAACATCCATCCATCAAAACTTTCGCATGGTATATGATTTAATGTTAAAAATACTTTCTCTAGAAATCTGCTTTAATAAATTTTGACAATACCATGTCTGGCAGGGTACCTTTATTTTGTTCCCTATGATTATGGGTAATTTGTTTGCAGTCTCACATCACAAGGAATCATAAAACAGCGTCGTTGCCCGTGAAGTGACAACGTCCGGTTAGTAATGCATATCAAATATCTATTACTAGCTTTCGCCCGCGACTTCGTTCGCGTGGAATTAAAAAAAACGTAAGTACCCTATGTGTTCTTCCAGAATATCCTCTACATCTATACCAAATTTCGTAGAAATCCGTTCAGCCATTGAGGCTACAAACTCAAACATCCATCCATCTATCTAAACTTTCGCATTTACAATATTAGCAAATACATAGTACTTTTGGATTCAGACGACAGTTTACATTATGTATTTTACATATTAATACATTGTAGGGAGGATAATTATTATTACACTGTATTTTATTTTATTGTTAGATATAGTTTGCGCAGATTCACACGTTAAAAAAGTATCTTATTAAAATCAGTAAATGTTAAATATAACTTTTAGTTTTTCTTTGACAAATGAGATAATAAAAAGTATACAATATTGTTACATCAACTATATATATTTATAACTATTGCACGAAGTGATTTGAATAATGACCATTTATATCGCAGATTAATGTACTTACGTACATTGTGCTTGTTTGCAAAATTATTGTTTTCTAATTCTCACGTATTAGTTTTAAAATATTTCGATTTCAATTGTATTTAAAGTATAAAATTATTCCAATTCAAACATTTTTTCTTAATCTTAAGTATTGAAAACTCATTATCCTACCAAAAAAAAAAAAAAGACGCACCTCTCTTTCTTACATCCAAACATATCCGAGTTATATCTTATCACCTTTCAATACAAAAGAATAAAAACAAAAATAATTCCTAAAATAATTATGAGATAATGACACAATATTTTTTGCTTAACTACAAGATTACATCAAACTTTGACTTATCAGAGACTTATTGTATGTTTAAATATATCACTAGCTTTTACTCGCGACTGCCCGTGTGAAATTTAAAAAAACAGCCTATATGTTCTTCCAGACTATCCTACATCTGTGGCATATTTCATCGAGATTTCAACAGTTTAGGCTACAAACTCACAAACATCTACTCATCTATACTTTCGCATTTCTAATATTACTACACATATCGTATTGTATATTTTACCTTAACGACGAACAGATCGTGTAGCCACTTTGATGCGTCAGCTTCGTCTTCGGGAACATCTTCAACTGGTATACGTTGTATGTAGAGGTGTGCACGCACCGGCTTGCCGTATAACAAGCTTAGTAGCGTTGGAGGAGGCTGGGAAAAATAGACATTGTTAAATCCTCCCATAGATTAAGGAACAATTTAATTTGGGCCCAGAAATGAACTAATTATAAACAAAATTTATACTAATATTGTTAGGAACAAAATTAGTACCGTGCTGTAGAGTTGGGGCAACTCTAGATTATCGGCATAAACGTCACGTCCCTAGCTGACAGTTGTCAATGTCACTAGAAGTATGGATAGATTGGCGCGTAACGTGAGTCTTGACAAGTGTTGCTCTGAGTTTAAAGCAACAGTATCAATTAAATAAGTTGTCTAATAATATTAACTTACAGTTTATTCCTAAGTTTAACTTTATACCGCGTTTATTTGTAAGCACACCTTTGAGTAAATTATCGCACAACTGTTGTGGAATTGTCAATTGTTTCGCAGCTAATTCAACTGTTTAGTTGCACAACTTCAAATCGAGTATTGATGCACCTCCATATAAGCTCATAGGAATTAAAGCAAGACTAAACAGTTGTGCAAAAGTTTAGTCAAAAGTGTGCGCACGTCTTAGTATCTGACACATATAATAACGTAAGTATAAAATTACATTCGTATTATTAAGTCGGCGAAAAATAATAACTGAGACTATAGGACTGTTAAAATAAAAAGGGCCATTTTTTATATACGAGCTATCGCCTGTACTTCGGTAGTGTGGATTTAAAAAAAATGGTCTATAACGATCCTGCGTGCGAGCTACCTTCCAATCAAAGTCCCGTCAAAATAGGTATAGTCGTCTCGGAGATTATCCGTAACAAACGCGGCTTACGGACAGGCCGACAAAATAAATTAAATGCGATTTTCGGTATCAGCAGTCATTTTCGGGAAATCTATAAATTTTCTTTTCATACATCAGTATCTGTAACTGCACTGTTGCCCGCGACATTGCCCGCGTGAAACTAAAAACTAGCCTATGTTACTCAGAGACAAATTACCTTTGTAACGGTAAAAGAATTTTTAAATCGGCCTAGTAGTTTTGGAGTTATTTTAATACATACAAAAATACAAATATTTCCTCTTTATAATATTAAGTATAGATGTAAAGATTCGAACACATCTCCAACTGTGTTGCAGCGTACCTAACGTTATCAAGCGCGAATGCTTCTATACATCACTGTTACAATGGATTTGATTATGAAACAGGTTTCGTAATGTTCAGACACCGTTCCATACAAAGCAGTCAAGATAACTAGGCCTTGAACTAAAATAAACTGATAGCAATTAACTGTTAACGGGAATAACAAACGTCAATAAACACATTGAAAAAACTCGCAAACGTCTTGTGAACTTTGATCTTTCAGTGATGTAACTAAAGATTCAACTTAAAAAAACTTTTTTACATAGAATATTAACACAACGCGAATTCCTTCAAACATTGGCAGGATATAATTCTAATCATTTCGCTAATATTGTTTCGGAATTAATTGTTTCCTTATTATAAACCCAGTATATTCTACTAATAAAAACAAGTAATAACACGAACGATAATTCAAGCTAAAATTAGCAATAGTGCTTTGTATTTTAAGCCACATAAATTCATATTAAACTTAACAGACCTACGACTGTAAAATCTGCGCAGTTAAAACCGTTGGTATGTGCACTTACTTTACAGTCCCGTTCAAATGCCAGCTGTATATTATAAATAGCGGGTATTTTGCCTCTAAAATATTGCAAGCTGGTAGTAAATCCTCTTGTGCGTGGGGTTAAATGGTGCTTAAGAAGTGGTAAATTCTTTTCCTTAGCAAACTTCAGTGAGGCCTCGTGCTTCGTTGGCGTATAACGCGTCCCTTCCGGAGTCATTAATAGCTATAAACACATTTTTTATTTAATTTTATTTAATCTGTATAAATCAGAATGTGCCAATTGTGTGTTATTTATTCCGGTTTCTAGTAACAGGACAAATGTTTATTTTTATCATTTAATATTATTATTGTTATCACAACTTTACGTTGATACGCGTAAATAATCCACTCACCCATACTGGATCCGGGTAGTCACAAAGTTCTGATATTTGGTTCTTTATAATTTCCTTATCCTTTTCAAACGATCTCTCCAAGAAGACGAACTCTGAAAACTTCCACATCCAACCAATAGGAGGCATGTATTGTATTGCTTTTTTTGCATAGGCCTTACAGTTCTGAAACAAAAATATTTGTTAAGTTAGAGCTAAGGTGTAATAAATGTAGTATTTTTTTTTGTAATAAGATGACAAACTAACAAGCGGCCACTTAAATACGCCAAAATGGCGAAGTGACCGCTAGCTATAAACATTTGCAATTGCAAACGCGTTGCCTACCCTTAATTGACGGAGCAGGAGACGCACATAAAGAGGATATTTCCTGTTATGCGTCACCTCCAGCATCAAATCCAATTTCCTTATCCATCCCTTCCTTATGAGAAAAGTGAGGAAAGGTAAAGAGTAAATTAAGCCTCCGGCACCACACTCATCAGTCGAAACGCGGAATTGTTCCCACTTTACGCCTGTCTTGTGTGGTCGTGGTATTACACCGGGCAAGCCGACCCATTCGTGCAAAGATTTTAAAGCGGGCTCTACCACTGTAATAGTATAGTATAATAATATTGACATTCTAATAGACTTGACGGAAATCTATGGCTTAGTTGATGAAATGGGATTATTTGTGCAATTTAGGCTAAAAATTAAGTCAGCTTTGAATGTGAAGTTTTACGTACAGTTGCAGTTCAATTATAGCCACATCTGTTTAAATAGCAAACATATGTCTGCTTTCAAGAGTCCAGACTAATAAATTAGCTCTATCAATATTGTTAAATAAGGTTGTCAGGACAACGACCTAAACCATCACGCAACGATAACGTGCTTAATAAATTGTATATTATCAATTATGCCAAATTAGGTAATTTCGATAATGATTAACAATGTGTAATGTTTCCTACTCGAACGAAGTAGTGAGTTCTTTATCATATTACATAAAAGTTCTCTTAATCTATCCCTTCATATTATAAATTGTAGATACATGAATGTTTGTTGAAAGGTATCTACAGAACGGTTCAACGCATCTAGATCAAATTGGGCACAGATGTAGAACACAGTTTGTAACAACACATAAAATAATTAATAAGTTTTTTTTTTAATTCCTCGGGTGCGAAATCACGAGAAAAGCCATCTCCAGCCAGATCTTTTATTTAAATATCGGTGCGATAGGTCATTTATCGTGGCTTATTTTATTTGTGTTTTTATTTCTATTGATCAAATAAATCTACAATTAAATAGGTAAAACAGCTTAACGTATTGTATGAATTATATTACATTTATATATCAAAACTACTTGATATCACTTTGAATACAAATAAAACAAAAAACATGCAATTGCATTTGATAATTCATATTTATGAACCAGCTGTTCATTCAATTATTTTATTGTTTAAATTTGCCAAATTCTCAATTGCAATAATAACCTTGCTTCCTTAATGTTGGCAGCTTTTAGTTTATGGTCCCTTTCCCACATGAAGATTTTTTTCCAATTTATTTACCCCTGAGTATAATAGCGTAAAAATATATAGCCTAAAGCGTGTCGTAAGTATAGGACTTTTATTTAAGAAAGAATTATTCAAAAATATTCAGTAATTGCTGGGACCCTACGCCATAAAGTAGCGTGTGTTTACGCTTCATTATATTAGTATAGAAGTATAGATAGATATAGTTAAAATCCTGGTATAAATCTTAATAAGAATAAAAATTCCCACTCAATACGATTTAAAATAAGATAAGAAACTCCTTGATCTGCTACGGTCAATGATCTAGGTCGATGGATGGCAACTGGCTGAATGGAAACTCAAAGACTCAATCCATTATTGTCGCGTTCAAAAGCAACAATATACAAAACACTATTACAGTAAAACATTTTAAAATGATGACTACATTTTTTTCTGTTCCATAGAATCTTTAAGATAGATTTAACTGTAAAAATAACGGGTAGCGAGTAACTTTGTTCAAATCAATGCAAGTCACGTACAGTTACTTTTTTCACGTTTGAGAAAATAAAGTAATTGAAAACATATTGTAACATTGAAATGTAAACTTTGACCCGTGTTGTTAAATAATAATGTTGTAGAAACAAAGGTAATTTATTCTAGAAATATACATTTCTGTATGACGTCTTACTTGTATTACAAATGTAAATAACATTGCTTTGTGTTTTACTTATCAACATGAATATACGAGCATTATTAAATTTTGATAATTTTTAGTATGAAACTCCAACTCCAACAAAAAAAAAATCAAACAAGAAATGGAACCCTGCAATCACTACCTTTCGGATAAAAAAATAATTATCAAAATCGGTCCACTAGCGGCGGAGTTATGCCCTAACACACATAAAAAAACATACAGACGAATTGAGTACCTCCTTCTTTTGGGAAGTCGGTCAATAATACTACTACTATAGTATTGCATTATCTATGACGCTAAATCTTTATCCGAATTCACCAAGCGGAAAATTAATATTCCGTATTCCGAAGAAAGTTAAGATGCAATTAAGAAAAATGTATACAGTTAATTATACTCCTTTCTAATGCTATATACCTGGCTTTAAAGACAAAATAATATTTTTTTTAAAACTCAAAAACTAATTAAAAATACTCTCGACGGTAAAAGGTGTTCGTTCAACAACCATAATACATCATAGAATAGCATTACCTTACGTAATGTGTAGAATCATCTAAGTGGTACATTGATTTTCTACGCAGCAATAGACACGTTTGGTTCAAACAAATCTATTTAAAGCGATCGCTATGAAGTGTTTGCACTTCGAGTAGTCCCAGATACACATTGTATTGAACAATGATTCGACTTATCTATTATTGATATCATGGAATTATAGCAAAATCAGAAAATACTGGATTTTCCACATAAGTACCAAAACGAGATTATAGATTAGTTTACGTTTGATTTTTAACTTTTTTAGATATCTAATCCCCCATTCGTATTATATTCAATACTAGCTGCTGCTCGCGGTGTCGTCGCGTGAATTAATTTGAAAATTAAAAGAAAAGGCTATGTAACATATAAATGAACTTTTTATTGGTGATAGAATTTTTTAAATTGGCCCAGTAGTTTTTACGCGAATCAAATACATACAAAAATACAAATCTTTCCTCTTTATAATATAATGTTCAGATTATGTACTTGCGTACCTTTTAAATACTTAGGAGTAAAGTATTCTATTCTTATTCAATGCGCGAAAGCACAAGGCCCACCAGTAAACATCAAGGTCAACAACACTTCCATATTGTTTACAATTATAATTACAACTTATATGTCCCATGTTCCTTATATGCTATCTGCCTGACTTCGTAGGAATCGTAGCCAAAATTACAACTTAGATATCATAATATGTAATTGAAACTTTATAATTTTATATTTAGTTGTTTTTAAATTAATCGTGCTTATTATCTGTGGCAAATAGTGTTTGGTGAATAAATAACATTAACAATCGACATGTACGGATACTAAATTTGTCGCGAAATATACACTTTTGTGAAACAGAAATAACTAAATGAAGAATTAAAATTCATCTCAAAATTTAATGGAATCATTTAAAAAACTGTTGGCCTTGTTATAGGATATTCAGTCAAAATATTAACATACTAACTGTTACTCGCAACTTCGTCCACGTGGAATTAATAAATAGATAAAAAATATAGCCTATGTTACTCAGTAATAACATAGCTTTTTAATGGTGAAAGAATTTTTGAAATCGGCCCAGTAGGTTTTGAGCTATTTTAACACATACAAAAATACAAATCTTTCCTCCTTATAATATTAGTATAGAAGTATAGATTACGACTTAAGTCTACGTCAAATCTAATGCCTCCTTTAATTACTGTGATAACAAACGTCACGATAATGATTTAAATTGACTTAGACATATCAATGACCTACAATATCTTTATTATTGTGCTTCCTGTTTTTTTAATTAGTATTCAAAGTACAATCAATCCACGTAGGTACGTGGGCATTGTAATAAATGTTATTATGTGCTGTGGTATGATGCGTAGCATCCAATGGAATGAAATAAGTAATAATTACGGTACAATTCACTTACTTTTGACCATACTGTATTCCACTGTATGATCAGACATGAGTAATGATATTTGAACATACTGTATAGGCTTGGAGACTGAACGACGGTATGACGGACAAGTACCGGTTGGAATAGATTACCAGGAAATATAGATGTAACACGTTTCTTACGTCAGTATTTTTGAATAAATGTTTGTCTTGATTTGGTCAAAATCATCGCAAAAAGTTTTAGCTTCGATTACATATTTGTACGTAGTCGCAGTTACTATTATTTGGACTACCAATTACATCGCAAGTGACCTTGGCAGTAACCGATTTACCTGCCCATAAATATTTAAATCACAAAAACTTTTTTTAATTGCCTTATAACATGTTACTGGTATGTTTAATAAAGAAATAGCTCTATTGCTGAAAAGATTTTTTAAATACCAGTTTAAAAAAAAAACATACAGACGAATTGAGTACCTCCTTCTTTTGGGAAATCGGTCAAAAAGGAATAACTATTAAGTACCAGCTTTCACCCGCGACACCGTCCGCGTGAATTTAAAAAAAAAACTAAGTTTATTTCCAGACTATACTCTATATCCAAGCCAATTTTCATCGAGCTCCGTTCCGCCGTTTAGACTACAAACTCTAACAAACATCCATCCATCCATCCATCCATCTAAGTAGCAGTAAGAAGTTAATGTAAGTAGGATGTGATTTCTGCACATAACGGTCGCTTTGCTGAATTACTATGTATATAACGAATTTTCCTTCCAAAACAATGTCTAAATTTATAGGTCAGTATGGTTCAAAGCCGAATGCAACACTCAATATCATTAAATTAGTCATTATCAGATATTCAGCATAATATTGTTATTGTAATATGTGTTGTCACCAAGAGAGATAATGAACAAAAAATTAATTGTAGATAACTACACCTAAGTCGATCGATAGGAAAATGCTAAACTAATCAACAAGTACTTCATTTTAGGGTTGCCAACTTTCAGGTTTGACATTGTCTTCGAAAGTTGTTAAAAAAGTAACTCCCGAATAGGTATCGCGTTTAAGAAGTCTAGGATTGATAAGTTTATCTTCCTTTTTTGCAGTCAATATTTAATGTTACGTTGATTGAGAGTTGGCAGCCCTATTTATACTTCATAGTCCGACTAGCGCGTCCGGCCACGCGTGCTATAACGGTCTAATTGGGACAGAGTCCATGCAATGCTAGCTTGTTAGTAGCTTTAAGGTAGAAATACATAATTGGCTTATTTTTCCTCTAAAGCATTAAAGTTTTATGCTTATTCTTTGCCCAAACAATTTTCAAATAAAGACATAAGATTCATCATGGCTTTAACTAATATACTGTAAATATACGTCTCTTTTTTTTAATAGTGAAAGGGAGTTAATAAACATATACTTTCAGAGGTATTTCGTTAACGGAACAACACTTTTATCAAGAAAACTTTTTATTCATAATTTAAAAAATATATTTCCTAGACCTTTTAGTTATTGAATGTTGAGAAATTGCATTAATAAAGAGAGTAAAATTTACACAGATAGATAAGGATATCAATATTTTTATCAATGGCTATGATAGCCGTTATTTGGAGGGATAAATTAAAATAAAGATATTATTTTACCTACAAGTGCTTTACTAATTGTAGGGCATTTCAATGTTAATTAGCATATAATCAATTAAAGCTACAAAATGCATTTATTCAAGGTATATTGTTAATACTCAACATAACATGTATGTAATTTTTTACTTGATTAACACTTTGTGGAAAAAAAAATAAAAAGAGCATATAAACTATATTTAACCAATTTATGTGGCATGGCTGCCATTATGTTATGAAAAAAAATTCTTAATTATGTTGTAAAGTATTTACTGACTATTTAAACAATTTAGTATTCTTATTTTTCTAACCCATTTATTTGTCAATTTACATTTCCATAACATATTAAAAATAATAATATTTATCACAAGTATAGATAATTAAAGTATATAATTATTAATTATAGTAATTATATTGTAACTACTTACTCCTAAAACTCCCAATCCATCACAGAACTGCCATCCCATCAGCCAGTCTATCTCATAGCTGTGGTTCATAATTAAATATCCATGTTCTTTCCCATAATATTTGTTGTATTCATCTTTCTTTACATACAATGATACTGTAGTTCCTGACCACCATTCAGACATGAAAACTAATTCTGAAATAAATTGAAAGCTTTAATCAACACTAACATACAGTGTCTCCCTTATTTACCACCCTTTACTGTTAAAAAAAATATTATTTAAATCAAGATTGTATATTTCAGCACAGTAATCAATATCACAATAATATTAAATATAACAAATTGATACTTACGACTGTAAAATGAGTATGAAAGATAATAATTAATTTTTCTATACAATGCTTTATTAAATGGCCTTAAACCAAAGTAAAATATGGCCTGAATAAAATTGAGTATCAAGCCTGATGTAAAGTATGATATAGCAAAACACAAATGTACAACTGTAGATTGCTTCAATATATTCAAATAGCTCATCATTTTGATTCAACTAACATCTGTCACTAAACCTGGAACAAAGATATTATTTGTATCTTACATTTTACACTTGAAATTCTAACAAAATTAAAAATTGCATATTTCCAATACATCACTATTAAAGAAATATTGTTTCGTTTATTATTTATTAATATAAACGTAAAAAAACAGTAAATAACTACGAAGCGTAGATACCGGCCTATTATTACAATTTGAATCATTAAGTAAAACTCTTTTCTATTTCTTATAAACCTTGTGTTTTTACAATACGAATATTAAAAACAAACAAACATCAAAATAAACTATAATTATAATAATTAGAAGGAATATTTCATCGGCTTAGGTTAAAAAAATGTATACTTACTGAAAATTGTTATACAATTTTAACGTTAAAAATATTTTACTTTTAATAGACACGCGTTCCCATGAACTAGAATTTCAACTTTTCGGAAAAATTTACATTTAATCAAACAATAAGTTGTATTCCGGATGAAACTCTACATCAAAATATATTTAACAACTCGTTTGGATACAGACAGATATCAGATATCATTTTCAGATTTCAGTGTGGTATTGCTACTTACTGCTACCGACTACTACCAATACTGTAGAGATGTCCACACACGAACGATTACATTTTACAATAATATTTCAATTCATAATACCTATATTAGAAAAATTAAGAACAAGTGAATTCTGTTTTAGGTTAAGATTAAAGAAGTCCTTGTTTTTTAAAGCTTTTCTTTTAATTTCAAGTAGTTTCTTATGTTTTAATGCACATATTTAAAAAAGGTTGTCAACTGTTGAAATTGGTAACTTATTTGTTACATTTCTAATTCCGTGTCGTGATGGACAACGTGAAAGTGAATAGCCAGCTAAGATAATGTATTTAATTTAAGCATTATGAATTACCAAGTATCTGAATTTGGCTAAATGAGTGGTGTATGTTTAATAAAAGCTCCGATAAGGTTCTACCTTATCGATTGTGAACCACTAGTAAAGATTTATTGATAAGTAAGTTCATCGATAGGGGAATGTCTGTACGATCGCAATACTAATCGATTTCTAATTCTACCAAAAATTTTTTCAGAACATCCCTATTTGATTTTTTAAGTTGCAAGGATAAAAATTAAACTTTCAAAATAAATAAAAAAAGCAGTATTCAGTCTAAATTTTGGTACTAAAAATAAGAGTACTTTTCATCGTTATGTACATCATTATGGAAATTTAATAATAAAAAGACGACAAACTGTGTATAATTATTTAATACTGAACCTATAGAGTATTGGGCAAAGCAGGGCAATCAACACCAAATGTCAAATTCGTTAAAACAGAAACAGAAACAAATGTCAAAACAAAAATAACTGAAAATGCCATGAAACTGGAGTTATAACAATAATTTTTACTTGTATATTCTATAAATTCAATGTATATATAAGGACAATCTTATATTGCTTTGTTTTCAGTACTTATACAAAACTTTTTATTTGTTATTAATAGGTTAAATATAATAAATTATGATGCGCAGTTATTCTCAGTGATATTGACTTAATTTTATCTTTCACAATGTGGCTAAGAAAATGTAGTAACGTTTATTATAAAACAAATATTTTTAAAGGTTTAACCAAAAGCACACTTAGCTCTTTGAGTAATGTGAATGTATTAGGCATTGAAACCTCTTGTGACGATACCGGTTGTGCTGTGGTGAACAGCGAGGCTACTATTTTGGGGGAATTTTTGCATTCACAAAATGAAACCCATGTTAAATATGGTGGTGTGATTCCAATAAATGCTAGGGAGCTTCATCGTGATAATATAGAATTAGCTGTTGATTCAGCTTTAAATAATGCTAGAATTGGTATGAATGATATTGATGCAATAGCAGTAACCGCAAAACCTGGACTTTTGCTCAGCTTGATGATAGGTGTGAAATATGCAAATTTCCTTGCCAAAAAGTTTAAAAAACCAATTATTCCAGTACATCATATGGAAGCTCATGCATTAGTTGTAAGGATTTATTATAATATACCGTTTCCTTATTTGGCATTGTTGATATCAGGAGGACATTGCCTTTTAACCGTTGTAAAGGATGTTGATAATTTTTTATTACTTGGACAAACTTTAGACAATGCCCCCGGTGAAGTGATGGACAAGGCTGCTCGGAGAATGAAGTTGAAGAATATACCAGAGTATTCACTAATTTCTGGAGGCAGAGCGATAGAATTAGCTGCTAAGAATGCTACAAATCCATCACTGTTTGAATTCCCTGTTCCATTACAGAAAAATAGGGACTGTAACTTCAGTTTTAGTGGACTAAAAGATTCACTTGTAAGGAAAGTAATTAAGAAGGAGTCTGAACATGGACTGATGGGTGATGAAATCATACCTGAAATATATGACTTATGTGCATCTTTTCAGACCGGTATTACTAAACATTTAGCACACAGACTTGAGAGAGCTGTAAAATTTTGTGAACTAAAAAACTTGTTAGACAACAATGCTAAGAATATTGTAGTATCAGGTGGTGTTGCCTGCAATGATTATATTTTTTCTAACCTCAAAAGTGTTGTCAATCACTTGGGATACAATATATACAGACCACCTCATAGAGTATGCACAGATAATGGCATTATGATTGCATGGAATGGTATTGAGAAAACAAGAAAAGGAATAGAAACCTGTCAATTTATATCTCCTAATGATGTACATCCAATTTCTCCTTTGGGTGTTAATATAATAGATCAGGTGAAAGAAGCAAATGTAGCGGTTAAAAGTCCCAGATTCAGAGAAGTTAATTAAAAATAGATGTAAGGGATATGTTATTTTGTATTGCATAAAAATAAAATCCTATTTGAAACAACAATTTATTTAAATAAAACTAAAGTATGTTTAAACCAGACTTCCATCATTGAATGCTTCTACTTAGCAGCTGCCTTTTGAAGATCTGAAAAACAAATATTTATTAAGTAATGGAGACAAAATTGGCTTTTAACACAAGGCAAAAAGGCGACTACAGGCATTAAGTTAGTATATTGCCTAAATAAAACATGACACAGTTAGTCAAGTACAGATTCACATAAAAATGCATAATTTTTATTTCTGTTATTTTGTATGTTCACAATCCAAACAAAAACACTTAAGTTACTAAAACTACTAAATCGTTGGTTATTTTTTTAAGTTTTCATAACAACCTAACTTACACTCTGGCTATTTATTCCTTTTCGTCTGAAATTAAATATACATTAAATTATAATCATAACTATTTATAAGCAGGTTAATACAATTATGGTATCTCTGGAATTAATATCCCTCCTTATATTTCACATGACTGTGACAATAATACATAATTTAAATTACAATGAATTTAAATAAAGATATTTTAATGAAGCTAGAAATATTAAAGAATTTATCTAGTGATTGATATTTACTGCATTTTTTTTAGTCTGTGGAACACAAGGTGATATATTGGAAAGGAGAGAACTCCAAATACACCTTATTCATTGGGCATATTCCCAGTGTAACCTCAGTAAACAATTTTACTTAACGGTGTTCTTCATTTGTTATTTGTGCCTTCAAAAAAAGTGTTTCAAATAAACCTGTGATTACAGGGTACTAAACTTTTTAACAACTCATTCTTTTGTTTTCGTCAAAAACAATAGAATAATAACCAGTATAGTAATCAAAAACATCAGATATACTTACGGGCAGGTCTTCCATTTGCCCATGGTGTAATTCGGACGTGGGATTCGTCTCTTTTTAGCGCTTCTGTTCTAAATTCTGGTTTCAGAGATCTACGCAAAACTTTAGCCGCAATGTTGGAATAGTTAATATAGCTGAAAATATCATGGTAGTGGGGTCAGAATAAAAGTAAGGTACATAGGATAAATTTAATTAATTATGATAAATATATTTGTTTTCAATACATACCTAAGACCAGCTTGTCTCCAGGCACTCATATTGATGAATTAATAATTTTAAGGTACAGTAGAAGCAGTAGAGGTGCCCGAGAATCGAAAAATTAAATTCAGAATGCAGTGATGTAACAGTGTGTTTCGAACAGATTATAATAGTGATGACCAAAATGTAATTTGCTGACAAAAGCTATTTAAGCAAATTGAACTCAAAATAAGTGTTTGGAGCGATATTTGTGTGATCTTGAACCAAAATGTTGCTTAAAATTTTACTTTACAGTCGATAATAAAGGGAAGATCTTTGAGAATTAAATGATAACGTGTTTTCCTTACCTTCTGCTTTTTTATCTGTAGATTTTTACCCATTAGGCCGCCGTGACAGAAAATAATATTGCCAATGTAAAAAGTTTTCCCGATTTTGGGTAAATAGAGTGTTTTTGCGATGAAGCTATTAGTTTCTGACAATAAACTATTTAATACCATCAAATTCTTCGAAATGTAAGTGAAAATGATGAAAATCATATTTTGGAAACACAGTTATGTTTGTGAACTGATATGGTCTCAAAGGGACATTTTCTATTGGGACATTTAAGTAGTTAATATGGCCATTAAAATTATTTGACACTAAATGACACATGACAGATGACATATGAATTTTCGGTTGCTTTGCTTTGCTTGCAGCAGCTGCAATTTGCGATTTTAATTTCCTAGAAAAATATTAATTATTAAGGTTTGATTTATTAGTTAAGACAACATAAGTTAATTTAGTTGGGCTAGTTATTTTAGTACTTCTGGTATGTATAATGTAATTTTACTTAATAATTTGTAAGTAAAATAATATTCACACGTTAGCTTTCACATCTCGTCATTGTTTACTTTCATTGATTATTTCTCTTGTAGTTTCGAATCATAGTATATTGAGTTTTTATTTACTACAAACGTTTACCAAGTTGATTACTCTACACTTTTTAGTGAAGTCCTTTACGAGTGTTAAAATTTTTAATGTGAAAATATTTTTGACAGTTCGCTGTTTGATTTCGTGGCAAAAATAATGACCCTTTAATAAGCTATAATTGAGCTTTAGGACTTACAGATATACTTTTATAGTAAAATTCATTGTGTAAATTTAATATGTATTCTACATACACTTTCAGGTCACTGTGGGATCAGGCGATTTTAGTGATGGATACTATAAAGAATGACAAATCGAGTTTGGGTACCAGTTTGGAAAAGGAGCAGTTACTGATGACTCAAAAACCTCCAGGTGTAAAATGTGACATAGTTAATGAATGTCAAATGTTTCTGAAAGCTGAGGATGGTGGTGGGGATGCCCATTTAAAAATTACCGACAGCATTTCTACCAAGATTGATGGTAAATTTACCCATAGTATAAGAAATAGCCTTTTTTCTCTTAATTGATACTTTGTATGTATGATTTATTTTCAAAGAGTACTTTACTTTTATTACATTAAGATTTAACCTACATAGTGTACTTTATTGCTAAAACACATTTAACACAGTGCTATTTCATGGTCTTTGAACAGTTGCAAGGCTTCACTATTGTTAAAATTAAAACTTTAAAGGCTAGGATTTTTTATTTAACCTACATTATTGTTATCGCAATTTATTTAAGGTAAATAAAAAATAGTAACTAAAAAATTTATTTTAGGTGAGAATGACATTGTCAAACCTACAACAAGTAAAAAACAAGAAGAAAAATCTGAGAAGATTTCGGAGGAGACTATAAATGCTAGTGATTCAGAAGTAAATGGTATTAATCAAATTATTTCCTACAATGAATATAAACATTTTAAAATTCAAATAACTCATAGGTTCAGTGTCTTATTGGCTACTGTAGATTTCTTCTGCTTAAATACTTTTACATAACTTATCTTTGTATAGTTTAAATGCATATTGTTTAATTCCTTTTAGTAATTAAATTTGTTTTTTTAGAAGAGATGCCTAACACTGTCACAGTGTTGGATACTCCAGATGGTGGAAAAGTTTATTTAATAGGAACAGCACATTTTAGCATTAAATCACAAGAGGATGTATCAAGGGTTAGTAATTTTATTAAATACTAAACTAGTGGTTGTCCGCAACTTTGTCAAAATCAGTTCAGCTATTTCTGAGATTACTCGGACATAACATACACTTGCAGACATTAAAAAAAATTGATCTTCATTATTAGCAATGAAAATACATTATGTTTATGAAATATGATTTATTTCTCATCTTACTAATAATAAATTCAAATATATTATATACAAAATATGTCAATAAAGATATACTATTATTATAAATGCAAAAGTAAATGGATGTTTGTTAGTTTGAAGCTTAAACTCCTGAACGGTCTTGATGAAATTTAGCATACATGTAGAGGATAGTTTGGACAAACACACTGACCACTTTTTTTTTTAATCCATGCGGATGCATTCACGGACGAAAGTGTTACAGCCACTCTAATTTTAATATATGTAAAAGATGATAACCATTCTTTTGTCTTTGGAGCTAGTCAACGGTAATAAATAATTAAAATTAAAACAATTTCTATTTCTATCTTCTAGGTGATTCAAGAAGTAAGTCCACATGTAGTTATGGTGGAACTATGTGAGCAGAGGACAAATATTCTCCTCCTTGATGAAGAGATTATTTTGAGGGAGGCGAAAAATATAAACATTAAAAAGATAAGGTAATTGTATATTGATAATTATTAGTTATGTTATGTACTTTCTAAATTACACATATAGATATATGATTTAATCAAAAATGTTTAAGAAATGTATAGATAGACTAGACATAGCATTTTTTCACTGGTAACTTCTTGGAAAGGTACTATGTAAGTTGCCAACTCATGTCCTTGTATTATAAAACAACGTGTTATAACACATTTTAGAAAATTATAATAAGCTCCATCTGTTGTTATAAAATAAACTTAGTGAGAATCATGTGAAAAATGTTAACTATGTTCTATACTTTTGGATTATCTTTGGATTTAATATATGAATTCTTTTTTACAGGACAACAATGGCACAGAATGGAGTTTTTAACGGATTAATGTATATCCTACTTTTAAATATGTCTGCCCACATCACTCGTGAGCTTGGTATGGCCCCGGGCGGAGAGTTCCGCCGCGCTATGGCTGAGGTAAATATTTATTGCTATAATGTTGACGTTTTAATTCTTTTTAAACTAGATTTTAACCATCTGTCCCCGCAGTGTTTAAAAAAAACTTAGTAAGTAGCCTGTATGTTCTCGATCTGTGCCAATCATCTATCCTAGATGGATGGATAGATTTATTTAGAACTTTCGTATTTTCATTAGTAACATATGTAAACAAGTGTACCAAAATGGATTATATTCTTGTAACCTTTTAAGAGTTAATTGAAGAATATATTACTATCCTAATAGAAAAAAATCATTGAAATAGTATGGACATTTTAATTGAATAAGTTTTTTGAGTACAAAAGTAAACTGGCTAAATGTATTGGTAACACTGAGGGCCTGTCCCACCAAATTTTAAATCTGATAACATTCGATCGTGTAAAATATGTGATGGAAATATCGGATTTTGTTCCCTTATCTGACAGTGACGTCATTTTTAAGTTATCTGTACCTCTATCAGCCAGTGTTGGGACAGGCCCTTAGTGTGTTAACTATCTAAGTTGTCTAGGAATGACGTAAAATTGTTTTTTTAAGGCAAAAAAGATACCTAACTGCATACTGCAGCTGGGCGACCGAGCTATAGATATAACTCTGCACCGAGCAATAGCATCCCTGTCGTGGGGACAGACTGTACGCTTCATATGGCATCTACTTACTTCCAATCAAACTATTAGGTAATTACCAAATTTTAATTAGTTCATTTTTGTATGTTTTTTCCATGCTGTGGTTTGTGGTTTTAATATGGTATCAAAATATTGTATTGATATAAAATTGTTATTTATAGTTCTTACCAGTGTTGGGCTTTTTGCTGTTACTTTTTGTTTACAAATATCTTTGTCACAGAATAGAAAAGATAACTGACTAATACTAGTTACTGCTCGCGACTTTGTTCGCGCGTTATTAAAGAAAAAAATCTAATATGTTACTCAATATAATGAACTCAAAAATTAAATTATTTTTTTTATTAGATGATTTGTTGTTTTTAAGTTTATTTGTTACATACAAAACTGTCTTTTCAAAATTCCTTCATGCGCATATTACTCTAGATATAAGTGTTTGATTTGAATGTGGCTACAAAGGTAGAGGAAGACCGAAGAAAGTGTGGATGGATTGTGTGAAAGAGGATATGCTTAAGAAGTGGATTCAGATAATGGCTGATAGAAATGTTTGGAAGAGTACATACTGTGCCATGTACATACTGCCCATAGGGACAAGGTCATTTTTTTATAAGGTGAAACCGCCGAAATAGCAAAGCGACCGCTGCCCATAGACATCCGCAATTACAGATACGTTACCTACCCTTCATCGACAGAGGGAATTCACATAAAAAGGATATTTCCCCTTTCTATGCGTCTCCACTGCAAATCCACTTTTTCTTCTCTTCCCTTCCTCTTAAGAAAAGGGTGGAATAGGGACTTAAATTAGGCTAAGTTGATGAAATGTGTGTGTGTGTGTGTGTTCTTTATGAGTTCATGATATGTGTGCCGGTAGTAATTTGAGGGTGTGTGCAGCGTGGAGGAGGTGGAGAAGTGCAAGATGAAGAAGATGCTGGACGAGATGCTGGAGGAGATGGCGGAGGAGTTCCCGGCGCTGAAGCGCGTGTTCGTGGTGGAGCGCGACATGTACCTCTGCCACTCGCTGCAGGTCGCCGCCATGCAGCCGCGTAAGATATTTTTTATACTCATATAATAAAGCGTAAACGCACACTACTTTATGTCAGCAATCACAGCATATTTTTAAATAATCCTTTCTTTAATAAAAAGTGCTACACTTACGACATGCTTTAGGATATATGTTTTCACGCTATTAGACTTAGGTGGTAAATAAATTGGAAAAAACCTTCTCGTGGGAAAGGGACCATATATTATAAGGTGCCAAGGAATGGGAACTAAAATAAGGTCTCCGGCACATTATTATTATGAGTGATATCGCGACTTCGCGCGCATCAAATAAAAAATATGTAGCCTGTTACTCATTGATAACATAGCTTTCTTATAGTGAAAGAATTTTTGAAATCAGTCCCCCTAGTTTTTGGGTTATTTTGATCTATGCAAAATATAAATTTTTCTTTTTTATAATATTGGTATAGATAAATATCGTAGTATTCTTGTAATGTTTGTGTATAAACCCACGCAGGCAAGGGGCCGAGCCGCATCGTGGGCGTGGTGGGCATCGGCCACGTGGCCGGCATCGTGCAGCACTGGGGCAAGGTCACCGAGGACGACATCATGCCGCTCCTGGTGTTAGTATATACATAACACTCAAAGAAACATCTATTTTCTAACCATAAAAAATAGGTGTTTTAAAAAAAATCAATCGAGACAAAAATTTACGTATTATTTTTTTACAAAAACTACTGGATAATTTTTAATTTTGAGGAGTAGGACTGATTGGTAGCCATTCTCCATTGTAAGGACAACAATGGAGATTCTCGGTTTTTTTATAATTAACTAGCTGCAGCCGCAACTTCGTCTACGTAAAATAAAAATATAGTTAAAAAACGCCTATGTTATTCAATGTTAACGTAGCTTTTTAGTGGTGCAAGAATTTTTTAATTGTTTCAATACATGAAATCCAAAAATATAAATTTTTCCTCTTTGTAATATTAGTATGGATGTTTGTTTTAATATTAAAATTGTTCAGCGTGCCCCCGCCGTCTCTGTCGACGCGCGTCCTGCGCGTGAGTGTGCGTGCGGCGTGCGCCGGCGCCGTCCTCTACGCCGTCTACAAGTTCTTCCCGCGGCGCCTGCTGCCCTGATGACTGAATACTTCGCACACCCGCACACACCGGTATCATATATTTATATAATTTATACAATCTTATATTATAGAGTCGGTGGCTCAGTGGTTTAAGCACTTGACTTGTAATCAACAGGTCTTGGGTTCGAATCCCGCCATGTACCAATGTGATTTTCGATTTTTAGAATTCTCATATGTACATAAGTTACCCGACGTTCTTACGGTGAAGGAAAACATCGTGATGCAACCTGCACATATCGGAGAAGAAATTCAAAGATATGTGTGAAGTCATCCAACCCGCACTGGGCCAGTGTGGTTGACCATGGCCTAGTCACCACTTATTAGGGTAGGCTCCGAGCCCATCGGTGGGAACATGTGAGCTGGTGATGATGATGATGATGATACAATCTTATTAATATTATAAATGCGAAAGTTTAGATGGATGGATGTTTGTTATAGTTTGTAGCCTAAACTGCTGAAGGGAACTGAATGGATGCGGACAGAGTCGCGGGCGATAGCTAGTATATACATAAATTATTATACAAACTGTTGTTCGCGACTTCGAATAAAAAAAATAATAGAAAACATAGTCCTTGTTACACACTGATAAGGAACTTTTAAATGGTGAAAGATTTTTTTTAAATTGGTTTAATAGTTTTTGACTTTTTTTAATACATACAAAAATAGTAATCTTTCCTCTTTATAATATTAGTATTCAATCTTGGATTTTTTTAGTTTTATATGGAAACAATTCTGTAAATCACAACATCATTTTCCTACTGTAGGACAGACAAACGGCGGCCATATTAACATTTGACATTTATTGTTCAAAATTCAATATGGCCGCCATGTTTATTTTCGTTCCGTTCTCTTTGTTACAATTTTCTAATAATATTTTTTTTGATAGACTTCACTTTAAATAGATTGCAAGTAAACGTGTTATGTAAGGAATATTTTGGAATCTACGGGTTAAAATAACGATTTTCTATGGATTTGCGACAGTTTAATAAGAAAATAAGTACAATTGAGTTAAAAACGAACTTGGTTCTTTGTTATTAATATTTACTTTATATTTTTATCTCGCAGGCTCACTAACGGCTCTGTTGGCGTCCTCTACGGAATATTTAACGACATTTTTATTTTATTAGAAATTCTCCAAATTTATTATTGTTATGTAATATTGTAAAAAATATAATGAACACTCGTTTTATTACAAAATATTATTAAGATACGACTTATTCGATTTATCGAGAGGTTCTAAAGCCAATCTCTAATTAAAAATAATAAAAAAATGCAAATAATGTATGTAAATTTAGTGTTCCTAATTATAGAAGTCGTCTGAAAGTTATATAAGTCTGGTATAGAAATATATATTGAGTGAATTGTTAAGTAAAAATTGATTTGTTGTACTTCTATTTTCCAAAAAGACATTTAAGATTTATATAGACTAGGCATAGCAATATTTTTTCACTGGTACTTTCTTAGAAAGGTACTATATCAGTTGTCAAGTTTAGTGCCACCTCTATAAACATTTAAATATTTAACTAGCGGTTCCCTGCGGCTTCGTCCGCATGACATTATGAAAATTTTATTTTATTGTTTACATTCGTCAAATTATCAATAGCAAATGACAAAATGGCATGACATGACAAACCTTGGCAATCTTGCTTCTTTGATGTTGGCAGCAATTTATGGTCTCTTTCTCACATTAGGGTTTTTATCCAAAATCATTACCCCTAAGTTTAATGGCGTGAAAATATATAGCCTAAAGCGTGACGTTGATGTAGGGCTTTTTATTAATAAAAGAATTATTCGTAAATATGCTGTACTTGCTGACATCTTAGGCAACAAAGAAGTGTGTGTTTACGCTTTATTATAATAGTATAGATGAATAGTGATGATTATGTGAAAAATGTTTTAAGTGAAGTGTCAACTATGCCTACTCTATATAAATTTTTGATTCTTTTTGATTTTATACTACAGGATATACGAAAAATGTTTCTGTTCACGATTATAACGCTTTTGTTTTCATTTATAGCTCAAAGGGCTATATTAAAAATAGTTTTAAAAGTCAAAGAATTTAAATGGCAGTTATTCTTTTTATATTAAGCTTGTGATTTAAAAATATATATATTGATTTTTCGACTGTCGGTATTAATAAATATTCAACTTTTACTTCGGATTTGATTTATTTTAAGAGAAGGTAATAATTATTTTTATATAAGTCATTTGCTTTAGTATCCCTGTCATAATAATATGTATGATATTTATTTATGTAGCAAACTAGTATATATATTTCATTTACAATTTGACAATATTTGAATTAATTATATTGCCTAATAAACTGTTCATGTATGTGTCAAATCTTAAATTAGTAAAATATACGTCTTTTCAAATATCTTGTCTGCTCAAGATGTCTGCTTGTAGTTTTTAAGATTCCGAGCGGACAAAATATTTGAAAACATCTATACAATACTTACTGCCACAGAGTCGCCTAATCACTTCAGCGGAGTAGTATTTCTAATACAATACCAACCCTAAGCGTGTCCCTTAGTAAGCATTTAAAGACTCTGTGCGTTAGTATGAATAGATTAACAATTCGTGAATGTTATTCTTATTAAATAAATTTTAAATATCTATTGACTTTTAATATGCGAATCAGAAATTTGCGTCTCTACCAACTTTTTTAATTCATAGTAATATTTCTAGGCCTAGCGTCGTGGTTATTGAAATAGATTATTATTAAAATAAAAATTGTTTAGATATTATTTAGCACGGGAATAATTTCTCTTTTTCCACTATTAAAGATTTAATTAATTAAAAGTGTGTGTTAAAAAAAATACAGCCATTTTTTTACGATTACTGAAATTTGTTTACTAAAATTTGTCAACTGTATTTTTTTTTCTATATGCCTTTTTTCAGTAAATTTTATTCTTCTTTCTAAACTTTAAATTGAGTATAATTGCATTTTTAAAGTAATCTCATATTCCTATTCTATTAATGGAATATGCGATAGTATAATATTTTATGTATATTTGATTAAATCTGGTAAAGTATAGTGCATTAAAAATGCAAGAATGTAAATAACAACACGGTAGGTCTTAGCGATTATTATAGGGGTAATATTTAGGATAGAATCGAAAATGTAGCAACGAATCAAGTTAGTGTCAGCATACACTAAATGAAAAAAGTCTTATTGAAGTGTCTATTAAAATATAACAAAAAATTATTCTTGCATTTTCTGTAGCATTTTACAAAGACAATAAGGGATAAGGCACTTCGAGTGCAATTCGTTATTCGAAGTAAACGACTCTCTAAACTATTCCTTTCTCTTTTACTCTCCACCTATTCTCTAGAAAACAGAGAACGATAGTTTTCGTACTACGACTTCATAAAAGAAATACGGAGCCGTTCTAGTTGATTGTTCTACAAAAATAGAACAAAACCTATATGGAGGTCTGTGATAGTGGATTTATTGTCGTCTCAATGTTTTTTTATATTCCGAAAAATATCACGTCTTTTATACATGCTATAATTTTTCATGTGTAATTTTGTGAAGTTTAAAATATTCTTTGTAGTAAAAATGTTTCGTTGAAATGTTAAAATTGCTTTTAATTTGCGAGCTTGTTAAAATACTATGTCTACTTTTACAAATGGATAAATTAAATAATTCGTTACATATTAGGAAAACATCAGTAATATTTTAAGTAATAATTTAGTTTGCTTAATTTTTACCTGGTGGTTTGGTTTGTGATTTTATCAGTTTGATTGTTTTCAATATTTTTAACGAATTGATTATTCGGCGTACTAACGTCTGCATTGGTGTGCTAACAATTGTGATTTTACTGAAATAAATAGTTAAAAACTTTTATCGTTTGTTTTATTTCTTAATAATTATAGTTTTCTGTTTATTTCGTAAGGTAAAATTGTTGAATTATATAAAACATTCGACTACTCGACCGGACTATAGAACTTGTAGCTTCAATCCTCAACCTTATGAGCGTGATTATGTTGACAAAAATCATTGAACTCTATAAAATATATATGGTCATAAACTGCGGTATTTTGTTTATCTTGGATATTTGTTAGGGTTGGACGATGTGAAGAGTTTTGAAACCACTAGCACTATAGACTCAACGGTTATTAAATGCAAAAGGCGCGTTTCACCTATCCATTCATACAGATCAGTGACAAAAATGTTCTTGTTACTTCCTCGTGGAGTAAATTCTTCTTGCTCTTAGAATAAAGAAATTGAATACATGAAATATGAATTGACAATTTTTTGACAACACAATGTCAAAATAAACCATAATTTCAATAAAATGAAAAAATATGAAAAATTAAATTTTTAAGTGTAAAATGATACTTTTCTATGAAATTTAAAAAAGTTTAAAAATATGAGAATTTTTTGCTCTAAAATTGTAACGTTACTTAAACAAAATGTAACCGTTATAACTCTGAGGAAACAACTAAACAAGTGTAATTATTATACCTTTACATGTAAAGGAATTAACATATTTAATAATTATATGTGACAGTTATTTGCACATTTTAGCGTTTATATTGGCATCGAGAGATTGCAGTTCCGACTTCAGCTTACCCCTTCCGAGCACCGCAACAGTACTTCAGAATGACGCAGCGGCAAAAGTAGTACTCTTAGGGACTGTACATTTTAGCAAAAAGTCTGTAGAAGAAGTTACCCAGGTAAGATGGTAGCGATGGATAGCATAAAAAAGCTAATAGACTTTGTATTTAGTACTTCCATTATGATAGTTTATTTATTAAGGAAATATACTTTAATAAGAATTCTCTTTTCATACATTAGATTGTTCACGCTCTAAAACCGAACGCAATATTGGTTGAGTTATGCAGACAAAGAGTATCGTTGCTGGAACTAGATGATAAAAAATTCTTGGAGGATGCCAAAAAATTTGACAGTAAAAAGTTTTCGTAAGTTTGCACAACGTTCGTTACATTTAAATATGTACTACTCTAAATTTTTCTGACTAAATGTGAAGTACATTTGTGAGTCGATACCACTAAACCTTCAAATCGGTTAACATCAGTCTTCAAGTTAACAAATTTCTTCTTTATCGTTCTTCTTTTCGCGATTTTTTTTCTGAGTGATTTTTCGTAAAACATATTTTGACACACCCAAGGACCTCAGAACAATTGAATAAATAATTACAATATTTGTTGTATTAGACAAACCATGAAAGAACATAAAGGTGTTGTTTCTGGCATGTTGCACGCCATGCTCTTGAAGACGTACGCTGACCTCGCCAAGGAATTAGGAGTAGCACCTGGTGGTGAATTTCGGAGAGCATATCACGAAGTGAGAATTATTTTATTAGAAAAAGTTTTATTTGAAAGTATGCAAAGTTTCTTATAAAAAACTTTTTTGTAGATGAAAAAAATTCCAGGATGTAAGTTGTTTCTTGGCGATCGGCCGATACAAATAACAATATCAAGAGCTTTTCAATCTTTGAGCATGATTGAAATTGGACAGGTGCTTTACCACTTGTCAAAAACGAATCAGAAGCCGCTTGAGTAAGAAAACATTATACACTGTGTACTTTACATATTTTAAATAATTTCAATAATGTTTGTGTAGTGATGTAATAAGTCTAAAAAATTTAAATGAAAAAGCGCTCGCGCCACAGTCTTCTAGGGTCTTATGTTATTGTTATCGAGTAGTAACATGCCTTACGTCTTACATTCTAATTCAAACTTATTTTTGTTCCCATTTTGATTGGAATGATGCCATCGAATATTAATGAATACTTTATCGTAACACTATGCATTAGACAAAAACTTTTTGTTGCAGTAAATTACAAATCGAGAAATATAAGAGTAAAGAGTTTGTCCAATCACAATTCGATGAAATCACAAGAGAAGTTCCGGCTTTTAGAAAAATATTTCATGTGTTTGTCGACGAGCGTGACCGTTGTCTTGCCTACTCCTTACAGGAGTGTGTTCGTAGTGGTAAGTGACTGTAACATGCTTTTGTAGTAAATTTTACATCTTTAAAGCACTAATTTTTTTCTCCACTGCCTTTTAGTAATTCACCTTAGTAGATGATGGGCCTATTATTGCTACCAGTCTGGTCGAAATAGCGGTTGTCCCAATTAGTTAATGAACCAACTACAGGGTTGAAGTAAGGGCACATAAGTTACAAAAGGATTCTCATACTTTCTCTTTTCATTTCCTTCTTTTGTATATTATATTTCAACATCTTACTAATACTTTATTATAAAAAGTATGTTTTATAAATGAGAAAGCTAAGATGGATAGGTGTTTGATAGTTTGTGGGCTAAACTGCTGAATCGTCTCGATGATTTGGCATAGATGTAGAGTATAGTTTGGAAGAACACATAGACTTTACTTTTTTTTATTTCAACGGGGCGGAGTCGCGGTTGAAAGCTATCTATATAATTCAAATATATTGTATTTTACAGTTCAAAATCCTCGAGTATTAGCCGTCGTTGGAATGGGCCACGTAAACGGCATCAGCAGGTACTACGGAAAAATGAGACAGGAAGACATTGTGCCTTTATTATTGTAAGAACGATAACAAGTAAGGTTAAGTAGTAGGAGGTAAACTAGTGAATTTTATGTACCTTTTTTTATGTAACGTAGATGGTAACGAAGCTTACATAATTCTAATTTTCGACATTATTTCGAGAAAAAATTGAAGAGTTATTCTTTATTTTTTCGACGTTTGCAGGCGATTTCAGCGGACTGAAAAATATTTTAATCCCGTCCAGAAGAAGCCTGTTATATATTAGAAGTAAATGAACAGTTATTTCAAGTTAGAACCTTTTTCAGTTTAAAGCATGTTTATGGCTCTGTAAATACACATTGGTGTACATTACTGAAGTGTGTTTATAGACGTCATACATATTTTGTAAACGACTGATTTATGTCCAAATTATGACTGTCTTATTGCCTATTGGAATCAGTCTTTTTTAACTTCTTTGGTAACCTCTATTTAGGATAAACTTAATTTAATAACCATAAGTATCTCCTCTTGTATCAGAGATTAACCATACGAGATGGTCCCAACAAGCTTAGGGGTGGCGCGGCGTGGTAAGCGGACGGGGTATGCACAAATAACCACTAACCTAGTCAGAAATAGGGGTGTACATAGAACCTAATTTCAGTAGCGGTTATCGATGCGTTGAAGACATTTTATAGGTAGTCAGAACCACACAATTATAGTCTTTTAATATTATAAAATTGGAAATGACTACATTTTTTCAAAGTTATAGTTAACTGCTAAAATAAAACGAGTGCGCGAACTTAATGTAAAGATCGGTGTTAATTAGTAAATGATGTGCTTTATACGAAATAAATAAAAGATCTAGGTAAATTTTATTAGTAAACAATAAAGAGTTAAGTTATATTCTGCGTTCTGCAACAAACAGAAGTACATTTAAAACAGTACATCAGATTTAATAAGGTGGTCAAGAAAAAATGCTTCCCATATGGTAAGTGCCAATCTTTTTTTCTTTCTTCTCATTATTAATAAACAAAATTTAAAACCCAATGATCCTATTTAGGCTTTATGATTCTATATCCATTTATCATAATCAGTCTTCTTTTCACTAATCAGTAACTTATAATTAACTTAAAAAATGGAGTATCGAGTGTATAAAATTTGACTAGCTACGGATCCATTTGTTCAAAATGCTGCATTGTCGCACTGCCGATGCCAACATCTGAGGTTGATTTCAATTCGTAATCAATTGTGGAATGTCCTAATGTGTTCAAAACCATTTCATCCGTAATAATTTGATTTATTTTATTCCTTACTTTCATTTTCTGAATAGAACTGAGTTTTTGCATTTCAGGTAAAATGCTCATAAGATAATAATAATCTTCTGTTTTTTCAATATCAGGCGTTCGATTCTTTTTTAATTCTTTTTCTAACATTCGTATTTTTTTTCTTTCGATTTCTAAGAATTCGACACGAAGATCATTTATTCTACGTTTTCGGGACTCAAGTTTTTCGGATTGTTTAGCCTGGGGAGAGGTCGTCGCTACACTAGGCTGTTCTTCAGGTAATGTAGAACTATCCAAATCTTGGTCATCATTGTCAGAAAGATTGATGTCATCGTCTGTTGGCAAAACTTCTTCTTTTAAAAATGTCATCAAGTTAAAATATTTCCACTGCGGCGTAGGTTCCTCATTGTCTAGTCCTAAGTTAGCAAAGCGTGAAGGCTGATTCTTTTTTAATTCTTTTCTATATGAATCTTTTAGATTTTTCCATTTTTTCTTTAATTGTCCAACTAAAATAAAAGCAACATGTTCAGAGATTTACAATTAAATTATTTAAACATTACTACCTAATATACCTTGCGCTTGGAAAGTCTTTACATTACTGAACTGCTGTGTTGTTTCATAAAAATGCAAAGTTGGTGGAAAAGTTTGGTCAAATAGAAACTATACAATTTGGAAAGTACTTTGCAAATAATGTAAATGGCAACACTAAACATGAAATCCTCCTCATGAACAACATTTTATTAGATACAAATGATACCTTAGAATTTTATTAAATTATAATAATAATTTAAAATAAACTTACCATCATATGGTGGAAAAAATTGTTTTATTTCGTCCCACAACTTTTTAATTGTGCGTCTGAGTTTATGCTGTGGATGTTTCGACATCCATATAGGCGGTCGATTAAAGATTTCGGTAATAAACTTCTCAGTATTCATTTCCACCATAATTCCTTTAAAATAATTTACAGTAATTTAATTCCCCGTGAAACCGACCCTTGCAAATCGCTGTCCTGTCCGCTTTGTATTTCGGCTTCACGGCTAGAAATCATTCGATAGTTCGTTTGTTCCCGCCGCACCCCGTACCGCGCCGCGCGCCGCTGTAGCGATTCGCTCAATAAAAACCACACCCGTTTTCACTATAAACAGCGATTCGTTTCGTTCATTTTATTATAATATGTATATACGATGCAAGGAGATACATAATGGATGTGAAGGAAAATACAAGTTATGTTGGTGTACTGCTATTCACTGTTTTTAACTATTAATAATCAATACTCTGCGCCGCCGCTCAGCGTCTCCGCTCATAGCGGCAGCGGCAAGGTCGTGCCTGAGCGAATAAGCGTTATTTAGTTATATATTTTTTTATTTACATCTAAACTTTTTTTTCAGAATCCCCCAGCCATCACTTATTTCCATCATAATAAGAAAAGGAATTAAATATACTATTTACTTTTTGATCTTCTCGTTTTTTTATAGATGGTTTTTTACATAAACTATACTTCCATGTAAGCTATAATAAATATTGAAATATTCTTTGTGTTTCAATTTAAAATTCTAGAAACATTATTTTTAACAATTTACATTTACAGTTCAGAAGGTATTACTTAAATAAAGGTAGTTTCGGTTGGTTCAGCGGACCAAGTATCAAAGCCTTAAAAAAATAGTAAATGACATTTGTTTGTTTATCACTTTATTTTAAGGTTATTTTATTGATGTTTTGACATTTTGCGGTTTGTACTTTCTAATTACTTTAGGTATAGTTTAGAGTAGAAAAAATGTTAGCTAGCATTATATTAATATGTATTTTACAGTTTAAAATAATAGAAAATAAAGAAAGTAACTGTGGTTGTAGTATAGACCGAGCGCAAAAAGAAAACTATGACAGAAAGTTATTTTATAATGTACAAAGTGAAGAAGGGGAATGTTCAATTGATACCAAAGTTGATGAAAATGAAGTGTACAAAGCAACGAATGATATGGTTTTAATACCTGGTAAAAATTATTACGTCGGTACAGACGAAGTTATGATTAAAAATGACATGGAAGGTCCGGAAAGAGTCGTCAACTTGGAGTCATTTTACGTAGACAAATACGAAGTATCAAACAGGGATTTTAGTCATTTTACAAAGTTAACAAATTACAAGACTGAAGCTGAAAATTTTGGAGATAGTTTTGTATTTTCATTGTTCCTAAATGATACATTTAAAGATAAAATGAAAGACTTTCGAGTTTTACAAGCCCCATGGTGGTATAAAATAATGGGTACAGATTGGAAACATCCATATGGACCAGATTCTGATATTTTAGGTATTGTTATTTTATTGCTTCATTGTTAAAGGTTAATAAAATATGCATTATAAAAAGATAAGAGCAGTAAAGATAAAATAAAGATATAAAAACATTGTTGACTCGAAAAAAGTAAGTTCAAATATTGTGGGTTTTATTTAAATTTACTAAACAAACATTTTGGGATAATTGAGTAAAAATTTGGAAGACATAGACCATAGTATGGAAAAACACATAGGCTACTAATTAAATTCTTTTTAATATTATGTGTGTACAGAGTTTTAATAACTTGTATTATTAGCTTTCATGTCTTTCTAGATATGATGAACCATCCGGTAATACATGTGTCATGGAATGATGCTCGTGCATATTGCAAGTGGAGGGGTGCTCGGCTTCCCAGTGAAGCTGAGTGGGAGGTGGCTTGCAGAGGGGGACACCGCGCTACAAAATACCCCTGGGGGGATAAATTATTTCCCAATAAAAAACACATGTCTGTATTAAAGTTTTTGTAATACTAGTAGATTTTGAGTGATGAATACATTTAGAATCCTGTAAAAGTATTGGAAAATAGTCACTAATTGATATTGGCTTTAAAAATTAAGCATTTATAATGTGCAGTAATACAAAAAAAAAACTATTGAAATCTATAAAGAAGAGAAGTTTGTGGCATTTAAAATTGTTGCATTTACAGGGCAAACATTTGGCAAGGCTCCTTTCCTCATCACAATTCAGAAAAGGATGGATATATAGGAACTAACCCTGTACATCTGTTTCCACAAAATGATTTAGAACTCCACAACATGGCTGGAAATGTTTGGGAGTGGACTGAAGACTCATGGACCAGTGACAATGTAAGTACCATATAGACTTTGGACCTGAACCCAAAGACAAAGTGACATTTAATTAGTAATGTGCGTTAAAAAAACAAAATGTACCTCAAAGGTAGGAAACTCATCTTTAGTTCCTCTGGTATTGTGAATGTCTATAGGTGTCGATCTCCTGCGTTCCTGCCATTTGCTCCCTTCTCTCATGTAATAATCATACTCCTAGCCCATTTCCATTGTATATTTTCATCAAAAAATTTATTGTATATTTCAGCCTAAAGAAAAAGTTAAGAAAGGTGGTTCATATTTGTGTCACCGTTCATACTGTTACCGCTACAGATGTTCAGCTCGATCGCACAACACGGATGACAGTTCTGCAGGAAATTTAGGCTTCCGTTGTGCAAAGTCTGCTTAATTGTTTTATTTCTTTTTCAATGTACTTAAATTTCCTAACCAACACCTCGCAAGGCGATAGATGTAAGCGTTACTTTGTTTTTATGTGGCTGTATAGGCTTCCGTAGATTCTAAGTTTTTCAAAATGTATAAGGGATTATATTAGTCTTCCAAATTTATGAAAATAAATCATTTGATGGAGAACAATCTTTTTATTTTCCAATAAGACATTAAGTTAGGAATGAACATTACTTGTTTAATGGGATTTCCAAATTTTGACTGAAAATAACACCCCTGAGATATGGCATTCTCTTTATATGATATCTCAACCTGTCATCATGTATGGATCTGAATGCTGGGCAGTAAAAGGGATGGATGAAAGGAGAATACATGTGACAGAAATGCCCGACCTACTGGAGTAGGATAAGGCAGGGGAAATGATGATGATGATGTGAAAAGGTTAAAAATAAATAGAGAATCTTTTTAATTCAAAAATGTATATTTTTCTATAATAAGAAGTCTGTGTAAGTATAAAACGCCGCGATAACTGCTTTGCAGGCGAACTGTAACTGCATGGTTCTGTGTAGGGATGATCAATCCATGTTTTAAAAAAATAAGAAAATAGTAAAAAAATTATAACTTCAATGACAATAGCTATTAAAGAGGTTTTTTCAAACTTTTTAAATGAAATACATTGGTACATATAATATTGATCATCCCTAGATTAACAAACCAATATGATTTCACTTTTTGGACAGGAATCTGTACCATATAAAGACATTTGGTATAAATAAAATATAAATTAAACAAAATAAATAACCAACACAACCGTCGTAATGACAATAATCTAAATTGCATTGAAACAGTACTTCCTATTAACATTTGATGCAAAATTAAAATACTGTTTTACTGCAAACACATCTGATGGGCCAATGTGTACAGGCAACAAACATTTGTATACATTTCTGTAGTTTAACCAAATATTATAAAAACTTGGAGACAATCCCATAATTAAAAAACATATAAAACTTTATACATATCAATTCATTTTATACATTGGCCCTATTTGTAATGTGTATGCAGATTAAAATTACTTAAAATTAATTTTAAAATGTCCTTCGATAATATTTTTTAATATCAACAATAATAAACATTAGAAAACGAAAGTTACATGTGATAAATTGCATTAATTATGAAATTATTTTACAATTACGCTAATTTTATAAACTGTAAATTTTTTAATAATATTTTTTACAATGATCTTTCTTAACAATTGTGGCAAGGTGCTTATTTTACATATAATTTAGAACATCGACGGGAATCATAAAAAAGCACCTTTTCTCAAACTGAATCAATAAGTATTGTCTTTTCAGAGTCTAATTTAAAAGCAACATATGTAAATGTAATAAAAGTACAAAACGCTATGCGATCACAAAATCTAGCTAAATTTGTATTGATAAAAATAACATTTACACCATTGATACCTTCTAATATATACAACTAGGTAAAATCACATTTAATGCTAACAACTCTAGTCTTTTTATTTTAGCATGAAATTTTATGTCAACAAAGGAAGTATAAACATTTCAATTTTGCAACAATTTACTTAGACCAAAATATACAGCTTCAACTTCTTTTTATACAAATAGTTGTAACTACATTTTTCATTTAACAGTACAAAATTACATTTCTTATAGTTATATTTACCATTGATTATCTCATTAAATACATATATACATCTGTAAACTTGCTAATAGCATATTGTAAACACAAAATCTCATGCTAATTAGAATATTGTAGAGTCATTAAAGTAACGGCAAAGGACTAACGCGCAGGCGTACAGTTCCGCCATCTTTGGCCCGACACGAACACACACTGTACAGTAATATATCCTGTGAGCGTCCCGGGCAATGGGGAATAATGCTTATTGCAACCTCAGGCTTGTGGACTACAAACACATTAAGCTCGTTTACAATCTCCAAAACGATCATTTCGAGTATACTTTTGTAACCTGACATTGAAGAATATTAACCCTGAAATAACTTGGGCTTATAATTGACTGAAGTGTTACAACAGATTATATCATATTTGTGCTTTAGAAGTCTTGTAGTTAATTTGAATTATAAAAACAATATTATATGGTATTAAAAAATCAACATCGTTGTGAATTTTTAAAATTTTTCAATGTCAAGGTAATGTGCGTTCCGTTCCTAACAGATTAGATTCTATACTTACATCCTTCAACGGAGAGAAGCTGCATGTTTGAGTCTGGCCGGGTCTTCTTACGATTGAACTTTGGTCCATGTCTGCACTACACTAGAGGTAATAACACTATAAAGTCCACTGTCACAAGACGCCGCGGTCAGTTGCCTGCGGGCAGCACGGTGCGCGCACGCACGAACGCGCCGGCACCATTCGTATGGCCGTTCGTGTAGCCGTTCTTCAGACCGTTCTTGTATACCTCCTTTATTTCCGTCGTCACCGGCTGCGGCGACTTCGCACGGACCTACAAATTATATTAAGTTGATACACCCACACATCTTATATTATTGTATACTAATGTTTCTAATATTCCAAGACCAATTCCTAATGCTGTCCAGGCCGTCTAGGGTTAACAAAAAAAATCCGGCAATGTTGAACAATGTCAGAGAATAAAGTTGAGAGTTCAAAACTTAAAAAAAACACTAGATCTTTGTAAGATTTTTCTCTTTCATGTCATAAAATAGCAAACAAGATAATGACTAGCTAAATTCACTGAGCTAGCGAAACGATGATTCCTAGAGACTAAGGGGATGTACAAAGAGGGGATGTTTCCCATTCCTATACTCTGTCAAAACCTCTACTAGAAGTTTTGTACTGTTTTACCTTGGGTTTGGAGTATGACTGGTTGTAGAAGTCTTTGAATAAGAAGAAGAACATAACAGCGTGCATGCCGATCCACCAGACGAAGGCGCGCGGGTAGTCGCAGTCGATAAACAGCAGCTGGAACGCGTGCACCATGATACCGATGAATTGCACCTGTGAATTACACACTAATTACTATGACGTCACACATTAACATGCGTAAATCTAATAACGCTAAGTTTACTGAGAATTTCCACTACAGAAATATAGGTACAAGAAAACCTTTTTTTAAAGTAATGAATGTGATATCGGTTATGTCAAATAAGGAGTAAAAGGTTAGCTTGGTATGGGCCTGTTATGAGAAGGGAAGAATCGCATGTGATATCGGTATATTTTTATTTTTTCCGACGTATTTCCGTAATGCATAAGTACCGTAATCTATTAGTGAGGTTACAAAAAATAGTATAAATAGACGAGTGCAAATTGCAAATTAACGGTTAAATTTTAGGTGAATGTACGCATCCGCTTTACAGTTGTATAAATGTTTAATTTTAATTTTATGTGTTCGTTAAAGATTTTGTGATTCGCATTCCTTGAGTATCTCTATATTTTAGTACGCAATAAATTATGTAAACTACTCACGAACCGATGGACATCGACTAAACATTAGCTAATCGTTTACCAAGTTATGTCAATATTTAATAAACTACTAGAGGCGTAATAATGAGACTTGAAGAATGTGGAAAAATGTTAAACGTACTAGCTCGGTTAGAAGGACGCCTTGTTGGCCAAAACGCAAAAGTTGTCAATAAGACGAGTTATTATTTTAGTCGTAATAAGATTGTTTTATTACTGTCATTTCAATTTATGAACAACATTCAACGTAAACTAAAATGGCAAACCAAAATATCACGAGACAGGTAGTTTTTTACTATGTATTATAAAATTTTTCGCCTTTCCTGGCCTTCGACGATGATTTATTCATATTTTGATAGCAACCAAAGTGTTGTATTGCTTTTTTATTATAAGTGCGAATATTTTAATAATTACTACACTTTTACCAATGTATTTCTATAAATAAAACATTAATGATATTCTTTTTTTCAGCATAACAATGATAACATCCTCATTTTTTTAAATTTCAATGTCATTTCAGTAGATAAAAGTCACTTCACGAACAGGCCTATTCTGTCTCTACTATCGTTGTCTCGCTCTCGCTTGTACTTGTCTCTCTCATTCCGTATACATCGCGCACAATATTGTTGTTCTGAGACAAAGGCCAGTTTCGTGTTACGAATATTATTCAACAACTTACACCGATATAAGTACAATAACATGTTATACGGATATGCTATTATTTCCTACTATATTATTATACATTGACATAAAATAAAACAAAGTTTAGTATACGTACCATTTGTAGGGTAGTCAGATATTTCTTCCACCACAAGTACCTCCTCATTTGAGGTCCCATCGCGGCCAACATGTAGTAAGTATACATAATTATATGTACAAAAGTGTTCAACAAGCCGAAGAACGTGGAATGTCCGCCCGGAGTGAACTTCACACCGAACCACACAGACATTGGCATCACTCCGTGGTGGATAACATGAAGAGTAGACACGTGATCAAATTTCTTTCTTAACACAAAGAAGATCTGAAATAAACAATAAGAAATTAAAATAGTATTAAGAAAAGTAAAACATCTTAAACAAATGGTAAACTAATGACGTCATAGATAGGCAAAAATAAAAATATTACTTTTGTGATGAGAGAGCAAAACGTTTAGAAAACTAAGCTTTTGAAGTTACACGAAATTAAATTGATTCAATTTAAAAAGGATCTTACCGTATCAAAAAATTCCGTAAACTTTGAGAAATAATACCACCAACATGCGTGTACCATCTGAAAACATTAAACATAGTTTATTAACTAGAAAACGGTTTCTTAATATTTGATTAAAAAAGAAATTAAGAAAACAGATTGTCCTTACTTGTTTGATACTTTTCAAGCAAACTTTAAATTAAAACAAGATAGAATAAGATAAAATAACACAGAATTCATCAATTACGTTTTACTTAACATCGGTAGTTATTTTCTACATTTTATTGATAAAAATTATAGGTTAAAAACAGATCTTAATTGAAGACTTCTGTGTTATTTAAAATAAACATGCAAAGGTGCTAAGCTTGGCACATAGCTATAAATCCATACTGGAACTCGTGAGTTGAGTGTTTACACTTGTGTCCGTGTAAACGAAACATTAAGCCAATAAGAGACGTTTCCAGTATCGATTCCGTATCTTTGTAACCATTTAGATACTAAAATGCAATGGCTTAAATAGTTGGACGTGCAATGTTATTTATTGATGTAATAAAAATGCTTGTAAAATGGATGAAGCGGGCGTATTTTTTTACATTTTCTATGTTGTTAAAGCAATAATTCGCATTAAATGTGATGAAATAAAAGCTTATCGTCAACCAGGATGTAATTAAACTAAGAGAATTGAAGGATGGCTTAAATATTTTGAACTATGACGACTTTATGTTTTAATGTGACCTCTCTTTATACTTAGTTTATTTCTTTAAATATTGTAATTTGAAAAAAGTAATTGCTTGATTTCGTTTCGACATATCACAATGCTATTATCTCCAACAGATGGTTGCAACTAAGATAAAAGTACAGAAGCACTATTTTTAAATCTTATTAAACTCCATAAGCTTTTAAATCATAAAAATTGTTCGATACCAATGAAAATGAAATTGATCAATGAGTATTGATGGATTTTATGAAAATACCGATAGATCGAGGGGCTAGGTCAATGCAGACAAGTGTTTGGAAAAAATTAGAGTGCGGAAACAACGTAAATCAAATAAAAACTGCATTTTTAACAAGATTTCTATTTGTATCCTTAGCAGTGGTTATGTGCGCATTGGAGGATACGTGAACTTATTATAGGTTTGCCACCATAAGTTTTTTTTGTTAAATTACTATGTAAAATAATTTTTTCACGTCAAAATATATTTATGCTGAATGGAGGTATGGATTAAACTAATCTGTTAGATTAGATTAGGCCATTTTTATATATAACATAAAGTAAGTCTGATCTGAAAAATGATCTTCAATTTTTTGTAAAATAGGTGGCAACCCTATCGAGGTGAGGAAAAACTGACTAAAGCAAATCAAACGTGAAATTGAAAATCCAAGGGTTTGAGATCATAATAACGGTAGAAGTAATTCACCCTCATTGTTTGTGGATGTTTGGAGTGGTCGACCGGCTGACAGTGAAAGTTATACCTGCCTGTAAACCAGCCAGCGGCCCCGATCTGAAACAATACGCCGACACCTGGCCCTGTGTTATTTGTATACTGCACAGCGCGCTCTCGCCGCATGCTCGTTGTATGCGTATCGACATGTTAATCACCACATACCGGCAAATTAACTACGGCTAGGACATTCATTCTATAATACAAAGCTCAGGGTTGACGCAAACAAGTCGGCCTCGGAATATTCCACTCTTCCGTATGTGTCAACCCTAATTAGTGTTAGTAATATCTTTCGTATTAAACTATAATTATAAAACTACATTATAAATAATATTATTTTTTCGGAGAAGTACTTCTTTACCCTGTACCTAACTTTCAGCTGGCAACTAAATAATTGTAGACTTTTTAAAACATTGTGTTAATACATTAAAAATTTCCTTTTTTAATTTCTTTTATCGTTCAATAAATAAATTATTTTGACTTAAGTGTTTATGTGAAAGTAAATATACACAATATAATTGGACAAATTGTTCTTGTTTCAACACAAATATTTTTTTTGAATTTATCGATCATGAAAAACATTTGTGCCATTAAAATCTACAACCACTTAGTCGACAGTTATATATACAGGCATCCTGAAAATAATAATTTAACGATGTCTATTTACAATGAATTCTGTTAGTCGGTTTTTGTATTGTAGGCCGGCGGTGTCGCGACCATCACTTACTCTAGTGGCTACAGGGTTGTCTGAGTAGTCAACTGGTTGGCATCTCAAACTGTAATACTTCAGCCAGCCCCCCATCAAGCTCTGAGTTTTTTATTAAAATAATATTAATATATGACTTATTTTCATTATCTCTATAAAACCTAACACTAGGTTTTATTGGCCAATAAACAGGGTTTTTATTATTTTGTTATATGCGTATAATAACTGGGAATATTAACAAATGTAAATCATGATTTTATAGTCAATTTTATTTACATAATACAATGTAATAATACTGTTATATGTATTTTATGTTTACAGTACTTTATTGTATAAATGTATTATTTTATATAAACTATACTAGTATTATGGAACAATTTGTATTTTTGTATGCATTGAGGTAACTCAAAAACTACTGGGCTGATTTCAAAAATTCTTTCACCATTACAAAGCTAATTTATCTGTGAGTAACATAGGCTATATATTTTAATATTTATTAATTTCACAAAGACAAATTCGAGAGTAACAACTAGTTTAAAATAATTTCATTTACTTCACATTAAAAAAAATATACAGACGAATTGAGTACCTCCGTCTTTTGGGAAGTCGGTCAAAAAGAACTAATATAAATTGATCATTCAATATGTCTAACACTTATTTCTTAATCTCTTGTAATGTTACATTGTAGTCAATTATTAAATAAATATTTATGAACAATGATGTATGCTTTTATGTATGTATACATTCTTGTAGAAAACAATCTCCATACAAACCTCTATGAAATATTAGAATGTCTGTTGATGTGTTTTGTTTCAATCCGAAGCCTAAACATTTTTACAGAAGACAATTGCACACTTTACGCTAAATGGTGAATTTCAAAGCATTACTTGTAATAATAATAATAATAATAATAATAAAGATTCTTTATTGTCAATCATTGATTGAAGGATCAATATTGCTTTGGCTCCTTAACTAGGGAT